CTTTCGAGGCTGAAAATGGGCCCTCCGGGAGGGTTCCGTCGAAGGGAAGGGCAGGAATGTATTGATTCGACATGGTTAGAGTGTTTTGGGATTGTGATTCGCAAAAGCTTGTAGTGCGGAGAAGGAAGTTAATCAGGAGTGTTGCAGTAACTGGTGCAGTTGCTAAAGGAGTTTTTCACGAGGGTGGTGATTTATGAACTTCCAAACATTGATTGTTAAATGGCGTTTGAAAGTCCCTTGGCGGCGGGCAAGTTGTTACGTACGAAATTTAGAATTAGGTTAAAAGCCCAAGGTAAAAAGAAGAATGGGCCTAACAATGGGGTTGATTGAACTGGCTGAAGGACACCGTGAGGAAATCAAGGAAAATAGATTTATTTCTAAGGAAAATACAAGGCGGAAGGTCCTCAGGGCGGAAAGACCTCAGGTCGGACGGTCATCAGGTCGGAAGGATTTCAGGTCGGTAGGTCCTCAAGACGGAAAGACCTCAAGTCGGAAGGTCTTCAGGTCGGGAGGTCCTCAAGATGGAAAGACCTCAAGTCGGAAGGTCTTCAGGTCGGGAGGTCCTCAAGACGGAAAGTCATCAGGTCGGTAAGGCCTCAAGACGGAAAGTCATTAGGACGGGAAATCCGCAGGTCGGGAGGCTTTCAGGTCGGGAAAAGGAAGAAAGGTAAGATCTCAAGAATTGATCCAAATCCAGACCGAAGTCGGGCAGACGCAGAGGTCTGTTAAGAGGAAGGTCGGGCAAGGAAGAGGTACGGACAGATGCGGAGGTCTTCGGTCAAAGACGGAGGGCGGCTGATGCGGAGGTCGGCCCAAGTGAGGTCGGGCGAAGAAGCAGGTCGGGTGAAGGATGAGAAGTCGGGCCAAAAGAGCGGAAGGTCTGTGGTCGGCTCAAAGAGTGAAATATAAGGATAATTTTGATCTGCTGAGGACACGTGTCAGCATGAAAAGGGTTGGAAGACGGTTGGGAAGGAGACGTTGTAACCGTTCGGGTGACGGTTTTCAGTACGGTTCCCCTGAGAATATTTAAAGGTTTGAATCATCATTTGGCAAGATATCTTCAATCAACTTCAACAAAGCAAAGTCAGATTTGGGGATCACCACTTTAAATTTCAGTCTTTTATTTTCCAGTTTATTTTCTGTACCGTATAGTGTTTAGAGATTCCTAATCTCAGGCACTAATTAATCAAGTTTAAGGATATTTTCTATATCTTTGAATTTTACTTTATTTTTGTTGAAAAATTACATCAACAATTATATTTTGTTGTTTTGAGAAGGTTAAAACATTTCGAGCCTTTCAAATGGCTTCGGAATTTTTGAAGCCATGTTATATATATATATTATATGTCTACTAATAGATTTTTTATTTAAGTAAATAAGAAATCAAAATTTTTCCTTTTTTTTTTGAAAAAATAATTTTAAACTGAATATCAAAATAATTTTGGTATTTTTGAGTCCACGTAAATGGTTCAGAATTTTCGAAATTATATTATACACATAGACGGACGCACCCAAGCCTTCCCCCCAAAATATATTTTTTAGTTTAAATAAATAAAATTTATATAAACATATTATTACCCCTTAAAATTTACTCCCTTCATCCTCAAAACTATTGTCTTAAATATTGATATTATATTGATAGTCGGTAAAAGTACGAAGTAAAAGATTTTTTTATATTAGTGTAAAAAGTAGTAGCATTTGTGTAATAATAATGAAAATGTATGAATAATTTGATGGTGAGATTAGTATTTATGAAAATAAAACTATTATTTTGGAACGGAAAAAAATGATAAACAAGACGGATGGAGTAAAATTTATCATTTTGCCTCTTAAAATTTAAATTTATTATATATTTTATTATTATTTTTTATTTTAATTTATATTAATATAATAATTTTAATATATTTTATTTAAATAAAAATATAAATTTTTTTACATTAAATATTATTACAAGTGTCTCATTGCATTATCTTTTAATTTTTTATTTTCATCATCTCATATCATCAAGAAAAATCGAAATAAATAGAATTGAAGTGGTACATAAAAAAAACTCAATGGACATATTTTTATAAAATTTTATAACAAAATTAAAATTTCGAATCATCCGTTTAAACAGAAAAGTCATCCGACTTGCGAATTAAAATATGTTAAAATTGAAATTGAATCATAAAAATTCAGAATCTCAACTCCGCCAAGCTATATATAAACTTAATATATAATAAATATTCTAATTTACTCTGCGGCTTATATGTCCTCTCATGTACCTGTTTTTTCAGCCATTTAATTTGCTATTAGTGGTGAAATATTGAAAAACTACAAAATCCCCCTCTTTATAATATGTTTTTTTTTTTTTTTTTCTTTGGGTATATCATCTCAATTAAGTTCTTTTACAGACAATTTTCGGTGAGCAGCATGATTTTACAAGAACAGTACGGATGACTGGCTATGGAATGCTTATACTAAGGTCTTCATTACATTATTGGTAATATTTTATGTCTGGAGTATTTCCTAATTGTGATATTTTGTTGATGTTGAAGAAAATGGCTTCAGGGAAGATTCTGTAAAGTCTGCTGCTGCACCAATTGAAGAATCGATTGCTAGACATCACACGATGATCAATCAAACAAGAAAGAGAACGAACAAGACAAGATTTACAAGGTTCGGCAAGATGCATATGTCCTCAGGGTGTATGCAGTTTCTTATTGCCGGTGGAAGATCATTTTGGGGTTTAGGGTTTCTTATAAGTCCATAGTGAATCCGACTGTATATTTTCAATCTGACCGTCACCAAAGGTGTATGGAAACTTCTATTCTGCTTGCACTTGCCAACACCGATAAAACCTACAAAGAAGAATATCAAATATAAATTTACATATACACAATATTTACAAAAAAAACAACTTGAAATGAAATATTTAGTGTTTTGATTGATCAAACTCAATCTAGAGGCTGTCTCATCGATATCAAGTTGATCCTTCGAACTTCAAAACCAAAATAGTGCTTAAACCGTTGTCCATATATTGTAAACTCCATGCCATCGTCTGCTTGGAGAAAAAATATTCCTAAATCAAGTATATGTGATACATTAAATGGCTCGGACCAATGCTTAAGCTCGAAAGGTAAATGACATGTCTTACCATAAAACTAATTTCAAATAAGACATAACGATAGAAATTTTAAAGTATGTTCAATAAGTCTACAAAACTTTTACAACCCTCTTTCCTAAGCTTACGAAAAATGGCTTCAAGAATTTTTTTTAACTCTCTATTTGCCACCTCAACTTGACCGTTCACTTGGGGGTGATAAGGTGTCGTGATCCTGTGTTCTACATTAAATCTTGCAAGCAACTGGTTACATGATTGGTTATAGAATTATGAACCAGCATTAGTAGTAATGGTTCGGGAATGAGTAAAAATATTTTTTTATAAGAATTTTATGAGTCATTGGAATAACAAGCATCCGCCTCAACTTATTTGATACATATTCAATGGCAACCAACATATATTGCTTGTCACTTGATGGTGGAAAATGTTCTATAAAATCGATGCCCCATAGATCGAATAATTCAACCTCAAGTATGCCTTTTAGGAGAATCTTATTTCTACGAGAAATATTACTCGTACGTTGGCAAACATTACACTTTTGCTAAAAGTTATGAGCATCTTTATAAACCAAAGTCCACTAAATCCCCATTCAAGTACTTTATGAGCGGTTCGGTTCCATGGCCTCTCTAAGTTTTCATGACATGTTTCTAATACCTTCAAAACCTTATGATCCAAGATATACCATCTATTTACCTAGCCTGGCTTGTGTATATTCTTAAAAAAAATTATGCACCCCAAATATAATATATTTAGCATCATGTTTAAATTTTTTCTTTTGCTAATTTTATTTCAAATGTGTAGGCATTATGCACGTTTTAAGTAATTAACTAAATAAGCATACTATGGATCTTGTTTTAAATAATCTATAGAATATAACATTTCATTCATAAAATAATTTGAAATTTCTAATTCATTATCATCGGTTGCTGTCCATCTTGAGAGATGGTACGTATGTTACTTCCAAGTTGAACTATTGTAATAATAAGTCCAACGAATTAAACATGCTTTTGCATCTTCTTTGAGAACAAATACCTCACAATAGTATGGTAAGTGAAAATAATTGTTTTTGACCTAATTAAATAAGGTCTCAATTTTTCACCAGTATAAACAATAAAGAAAAAGTCTTTCTCAATGACGGTGTATCTTTTTTGGGTTTCAGTTTTGGATTGTATCAAATGAAAGGGAATGATCTCTTTTATAGGTATAATTATTGCTATTAATAATAATTTTAATTACCATTAATTATGCCAACAAATATACTTTTACCCCAATAAATTCGTTTTTGGATAAACTTGGATTATATTTTGTACTTCAACTTGTATTCGTGTCCCGACTATTTAAATAAATAATTTTGGTATAGATATTGAACTTCCGGGCAATATTTAATCTTGCCAAGTCAAGTTGTTACAACTGCCAAGGCTCAAGACCCAAAACCTACGATCCTCAACCCATGACATGATCATGTGGTTCACCGGCACTCACAAGCTTGGACTATCTTAATTAGCCCAAAACTCAATTAATTTCAAATCCAAAATTATTGAGAAAATCTCAAATTTTTTTTATATATTTGGCCCAAATTCGTTCTAGTCATCACCCAAAGATTAGTTTTGAGAATTTTTTTTAATTTTTCGTAAATTAAATTCATGGAAATTATTTTAACATATTTATTCAACCAATGTAATGTCAATGTCCCTGCCGCCTGCCTGTGCGAGTGTGTGTGTGTGTGTGTGTGTGTGGAAGGAGGGAGAGTCAACGTCCTTTTCATCTCAACCGACGACAAATTAATTAATTAGAATATAAGAATAACAATCTGCCTGCGTATCGTGAGGAGCACCTACACATATTAGTAATTAGTACACACCCAATAATCCAATTATAAGTTCTATTAGTGCCCGCAGCATAGCCTATTCATATTACTACATTGCAAGAATCAATATTGTTGTGCTGGTGTTGTTGCCTCTGTCTCGGTCCTGAGAGAGAGAGAGAGAGAGAGAGAGAGAGAGGATCATCGATCATAGATCATTGACGATATATCATCGATCATTGATCATGAAGACAGCGATAATATTTGCGAGGAGTTTCAGTGGGAATGATCAGAAAAGGATGGGACGCGGAGCACTGGTCGCCTGCTGCTGCGTCATTGCATTCACCCTTTGCACGCTCGTCTACGGCCCCTTACCTGCTGCTTCTCCTGCTGCAGGTACGCCCACGCCCAACTCCGCCCTGGAATATAGATACATAATATATATAATTTAATTAAAGATGCATGTAGCTGCATTAAGTTAATTGATAAATTGTCTTAGATGGATCCCTAGCTCCCTACACTTGAGCCAACCTAGCTTAACATATCTTGCATTTCTGTGCAGTGAAATTGGTGCAATCAATCCCGGCAGCAGATCTCAAAATTTTGCAGAGCAGGGAAGAAATAAGCCAACCAAATATCTGGCGTACGTAATTAAGCTAGCTTGCTTACTTGAGCGAGAGAGATACTGATAACTGGACTATTCGCACACACAGATATATATATATATATAATACTATTAATTTTAGTTTTTCTGATAGTATATAAGGCGATCAAGGGCAGGTTTATAATTATATCTTCAGTCATTTTAACTTGTCAATTATTGTAATTATACCAATTTCCTTCAAAACAATAATCAAGTTATGAATTTGCATTACATTATTAGAGATCTCATACTTAACCCAAGTCATATATAAGTATATATATATGACTGAGGTGGTGAGGTTAATACATCATTGACTTTTGTGGGGTTGTTGTGGCCTCGTGGTGGTGGTTGTTGTGTGTCTATACTGATAATAATAATAATAATATGGATTGATTAATTAATGTGCAGCAGCTGGTGGCTTGAATGACAAGCTGCAGCCGGCAATCATTCGGAATTTGAGCAGCAGGAGATCACAAGTATACGAATTAAACGGTGACGTCAGAATCCATGGCCGCCGTCCATCCACCATTTTCCTATTTTCGGGCGACATGGCGACTACTGCCACCGCCGGGTGGATCACTACTAAGCCTTACGCACGCAATCCTGATCCGATCGCGATGCGAAAAGTCACTGGGCTCAAACTAATAATCCATGCTCAATCCGGTCCTGATGCCGCAGAGCTTCGCTGCTCCCGCAATTTCAGCCTCCCTGCCATAGTCTTCTCCTCCGGCGGCTACGCGGGCAACCCCTTTCATGATTTCTCCGACGTCCTCATCCCACTCTTCTTGACTGCTCAACAATTCAATCGGGAGGTGGTCTTTCTGGTGGCTGATAGGCGTCCGTGGTGGACTAACAAGTACAAACTCATCCTGGAGAAGCTCTCCGCATACGACGTGGTAGACATGGCAGCAGCAGCAGCAGCAGAAGAAGTGATGTGTTTCCCACGAATGATCGTTGGCCTCAGAGCGCACAAGGAGCTGAGCCTCGATCCCTCCGAACCCCCGCATTATTCGGCCAGAGACCTAACGGATTTCCTGCGGAGCACCTACTCCCTGCACAGGCAGGAGCTGGTGGTGCCTCCGGGGCCCGGAGGGTGCACGAGGAGACCGCGCTTGCTGATCGTGTCCAGGAAGAAGACCCGGCGCCTGATGAACGCGGGCGAAGTCGCGGAGCAGGCGCGGAGGTTGGGGTTTGAGGCGGTGGTGAGCGAAATGGAGGGGCGGGTGTCGGGGGTTGCGCGGCTGGTGAACGCGTTCGATGTGATGGTGGGGGTGCACGGAGCCGGCCTCACCAACATGCTCTTCCTCCCCGCGAACGCGGTCGTGATTCAGATCGTGCCCATCCGGGTGGAGATCCTGGCCAGGCATTACTTCCGGGGCCCTGCCGAGGACATGGGGTTGAGGTATATGGAGTACCGGGTGCGGCCCAGCGAGAGCTCGCTGCCAGCGCCATCATCTGAGCAAAGCCGCAGCAAATTGGATGGCGGCGATGGTGCTGCCGGTGCTGGTGCTGGTGCTGGTGGATGGCACGGCTTTCGTGCCATTTACCTGGATGCCCAAGACATACGCCTTGACGCGGCCAGGTTTAGGGAAACAGTACTATCCAGGGCCTTGGAGCATGTTTGTGGCGGCGGCGGTTAGTCACTAGTAACTAGCTGCCCTAGCATATCTCACATTAATTGTTTGGATTTTAGTTAATTTGAGTCGTGCATATATGCTTGCGTTTGGTGTATGTATAGGAAGAACTATGGAGAACTAATAATTATTAATCTTCAAGTGTTAATTTATATACGATGCAAAATATATATGATGATTAAATAGTTAAGTCTCCTGCGATCCGATCCGATCCGATCCATGTAAGCTTTGATCCCTTTCGAACACTACGAACGAGCTCGAAAGTTTAACGAACAAACACGAGTCTTGTTCGCAAACATTAACGAACACTTAAAATTTGACTTGACTCGGCTCGACTTGGATCATTAACAGCTCTACCTAGGGTGCACGCTCGAAGATGTCTATATGAAATTAAATGAAATGTAAAATAACAAATGAAATGGGGAAAGAGGCCATAGTTGAATTTTAAATGGGACAATAGCTTTGTCATGATCAATCAATCGGAGGGGAATATACTGTAAATATCTCCCGATTTTTTAGAATTCTAAGAATATTATACTTCTTTAATCGTGATTATGACTAAATAAACGATTCTATAAACATTATGTATTTGCCCAAAAATATTTTGATGTCTTAATTATTATTTTCAATTGTCAAAGTTAGGAATTGAATTAATCCCAATATAAATATTCTAAATTCAAATTTATTTAAATTTGAGTTGACATGAAGAAATTTTACTTCTTTCTTTGAAAATTTGAGTTGCATCTTTTCAATGAAAATTGCTTTTTGAATTCAAATTTTAAATCACATATTTTCATAAAAGACACTTCCAAATTATATAAATATATCTGTCCTCACATAAATAGAAATTAAATAGTGAAATACATATATTGATAGAATGCCACAAATTCTATATGAAATACTTAAAAATACTTTAAAAATATCTTTTATCCAGAATTCTGAAAAATATCTTTATACACAAATATTTTCCTAATTTTTACTTGCTCAAATTTCCGCCTATAGTTTGAAGATATCGCATTAGAAGAATATTTATAGAAGAATTAAGTTAGTGAATATAACACTCGATCCATTGAATTCCTAGAAACAAAAGGACTATAAAACATAAATCTTTTGGTCCTTACTTTCAACTTTACTTGGTAGGAGATTTGTGTGACAAGATTGGTTCGCAGATTTTATAAAATTTGTGTTATTTGTCGAAATTAGCTTATTCGAGTATGTACTCCACGCATCACATTCTGAAGTTCACTTAATATGAACATTTATTGATCTCGAATAAATTCTGAAATTACCAACAAAGTCGCATTGGGTTTACGCTTGAGAAAAATAAAAGCTAAAAAGATAATATATGAAATTGTATAACCAACTAATTATAGGAAAATATACTATAATTTTTTTTCTTTCACTTTCCAAATATTACTGTAATACAATTCTCATGTATTTTTTAAAATATTATGATAATTTTATTATTATTTTCTTTTTAAAAGATATTTTTTAATTCATAATATGATTTTTGTCTTTACAAATTTTATAGAAAGTAAAATAAGCTTTTAACACTAGGTCACATATTGAACAATATGAGAATAGGTAGGTTTAGCTTTCGCTACATGCACAATTACGTTTTACTTGCTCGAATTTGAGTGTTGCTTTCAAGTAACCCGAATTCAAATATTGTATAATAAAAACGATCTTATGCGATACAAAATATATTCAAGATGATTAGTACCTTTTGAAAATTTCCATTTTTCTCCCTATTTTCTCAATTCTATTCTTTAGCCCCCAACATGTAGTACGTTTATTATTGATTTAGGTGCTAGGATTTGCTCAGCTGCACCACAAATAACTATGATTTTACCCTCGTCCGCGCTGCCACGAAACCCATTCCCATTCCCAATCTCAATCCTAGATGCCAGCGAGCTGAATAAAAAGAAAAAGATGAACAGAAATTCAAAGTAGAGATTCAGTGATGTGATGTGATGTGTAGATACATATATATGTTAAGATGTTGGTTGCTGTGCTGAGGTGAGGTGAGGTGAGCTTCTCTGGAGATAGATAGATAGATTAGTTATTACGGAATATCATTTCCATGGTGCTCATCATCATCATCTTGATCTCGGTGTAGTAAATGTTTTGTCAACGACTCTTCTTTGGCAGTGGAATCTTGGCTTAGGTTTCTTCTTGTCTCGGCTGTTTTACCCCATAGGATTAGATAGAGGCCAATCATAATTAGAACAGCACCAATGACACTGCAAAAGAAGGAGAGCAGCTATTCAGAACATATATGTGTGACGTGCCACTTAGAAAAATTCCATTTATCTAGTTTTAATTTTAAATATGCATTTGCTACAAAATTTTATTTTAATTATAACTTTATTTTTCACTATTATTCTTCAAATATTTAATTTTTTTAATTATTTTAAACATATAATTTAAAATAATTTTTTTAAAAATTTAAAAAAATTAAAAATAAATTAAAAAATTAAATAAAATAAAGAGCAACGCATTTTTTTTTAGCATTGGAGACAACCAATGTATTATGTACTCTATCAGATGCAGTTGTGGATGTCATGTTTTAATGTCATATGTAGGCATGCATACACGAATAGGTGGTACCCACCCTCCAGAGTATAACTGATCGCCCAGGATGACGAACGCCATTCCAGCAACTAATACTGTTTGGAGGGGCTGGAAGCTCGCCACAAACACTGGACCTCCTTTCTGGATGCACCAGGTCTGCAGAGAGATCACTATACCTGAAGATATTACTCCCTGCACCCAGTTTCAAGTCAAGTCAAGTTAAGCTACCTGCAGGCCCCGCATGAGAATCATTCTAAAAACAAAACAAAACAAAACAAAACAAAAAACGGGACCAAGTTGGGTTGATTTTTTTTTACAGCATATAAGATTGTAAAGATCTCTTCTCCGGACTGAATTTGCCAATGCGTTGGGTCCCTTTCCACAAAAGCTGCTATGAATAAGAACTGAATTAATCCAAAGAAAAATGTGAATGACGTGAGGGAGAGTTTGGCCGGGTACTTCTTCACGACGGGGGCCTGCATCGCACGAGTAATAAATAAATAGAGATGGATGATCGATCAGCGGAGTTACAGTTACATTACAGAATACAGATGGAGGGAGGGAGTTCAATTCTGTTCTGACTGACTGCAGTAATTGATTGATTGAGTAATTAAATCACTAAACAAGCGGGGTAATTAATTACCTGAAGGACCATCCAGCTGGCCCAGGATAAGCAGTGCCCAACTAGAAATATGCATCCCCATGTCCAGCTCTGCACGTAATTTGTTGAGGTGAGCGGAGGAAGCGAATCAGTAGTCGTCGTCGCTCCATGTGGTTTTGACTCCTGCTGCTGGTTCAAAATAGCAGGGCCCTTGTACAAGGTGATAATTGTTGCACCTCCCAAACTTGCTAAAGTCCCTACAACCTTTGCTACTCCATCTATCCTTGTGATCTGAACTTGCTCCAGCCTAGGGGGGAATTAATTGAATGGGAGAAAGAACGACAATTAAGGAAGGATATGACCAGAGCAGTCGGGGGGACGTACGTACAAGTGCAAGGAAGGAGGTAGTTATTCTGATAGATAGATATAATAGATACCTCAGAGCAGATGCCATGATGAAAGTGATCGCAGGAACTGAGTTCTGCATTGCAGATGCAAAGGTCGGAGATGCATAATATAGGCCGAGGATGTAGAAGCCCTGGTTTGCTGTGATCCTGGGAAGACAGAGACAACAGATAGCCAGCTGCAGTCTAACGAGGGGGAATCGAAATGGACAATTGAATTTGAGGCTGCTCTGCTTAGACTAGTCGTCTACTACTACTACTTCTACTTACCCCACGAGTGCTAAAAGAAAGAACTGAGCCAATAAAGAGAACGTGAGTGGTGGTCTCTCCTTCCTGTGAGTAAGCAAGTGATCAGACCACGAGAAGGACTCATCGTGATGAGTTAGTCAGTTCAGATCTAACACATAACATGGAAAATAATAAATGCACGACAATGTTCAAAGATGGATAGGTATCTTGTCACTTTATTATTTATTTATGCAAGAAGAGGAGGAGGGGAGGAGAAGATGGATCTAACTGAATCTCTCACTTTTCGATGAAGTAGGCAAAGGGACCCAACAGTAGCAATGCGATGACGTTTCTGTAAACAGGATAGACCACTTTGCTAACGCCAATGTTCAGGGCGACTCTGGAGACGATGTGAAAACCTGCGAAGCAGAACTGCAGTAGGATCAAGGAAATCAGAAGCTTCACTTTCTCAGAAATGACGCGGGCCATGTGATGTGAATGAGTCTTTCTTCAGATTGAATGCAGGGCGGTACTTCAGATAATCGCCGAGCAATGCATATACATATGTGTATATATTTATATGCATGTCTCGTGTGTGTGTGTGTGTGACTATATATATTTACTGGCTGCGAGTAGAGCAATTGATTTAATTATAACGGTGCGTATCAAGCACAATCATTCAGTCCCACCACTCTCTCTCATTATGCTACATCTCATATCGTTGTCATGTATGTATGTTGACTTGTAGTTGAACATTGTTGGGGCGGGGAGACAAAGCATCAGTTGTGCATGTTGGGGCAGGTAGTGCAAACATGCATGCAGATGCAGCAGCAACCTTCTCCGATCCACTCTCAATTCATTGCTGTCCGTCTCTTATTTTAACCATTTTCTTTAGGGTCTGCAATGATCATTTTCAATAACCAATTGGTCGATCAATCATTTGCTAGCAATTCAACGCCTTGTCAGATTTGTTGGTATTTTATTTTCATGTTGTTGTTTAATGCTGCTGCTGCTAAGTCATAGCAGAGAAGCTGGTGCGTCAATCTTTCGGCCATTTCCAAGTCCTACTCAACTTCACTATTCCATTATAGCAAGTAGTAGTGATCCTACTATGTTGATTAATATTAATGGACCGCAGTTAAGATGTGGAGTGTCGGAGATATACTACTTCATTTATAAACATGTCTTAAAATTGATATTGATATTGATTTACTAGTCAGCACACGGTAACTAAAAACATTGAGTAATGATCGTCAATCATACAGAGGTTAGGACATCACTGCTTTTTGCACATAAGAACCAAATTGTATGTGTAACAGACAACTGAAGAAGAAGAAGAAGAAGAAGATCACTGCAATGATTGGAGAGCATGTGGCCATAATGACTTGGGCATCTTTTCATTTTAGAAGATCCGACAATGCATGTAGTTAGAGACACACAACACACACACAATAAAGCCAGCCAGCCAAGCTGACTAGCTGCTGCTGCTGCTGAATACTACTAGGAACCTCTCTAGCGTCGAGCAATGAGCCATCGAGTGCGCACATGAGAGAATCCAATGCACCGGCCCACAAAATTCAGGTGTCTGTCATGTTATCAATCAAATCAAATTAAGATCGGATCAGTTTTTCATGGAGGTTTAAATTGTTTTATCCCCCTCCCAGCTGCTTGGGAAACCTGTACTACCCGCTCTTTTATGTCGAATTCCAACCTCATCACATCAAAATAACATCTCAATCTTTGGTTCCACATAATCTCTTCTGGAGCTACAATGGAGTCCTAAATAAACCCTCAGACCTCGCATGTAAGCCTAGCACCGTGCCACCCCCAGACCATAAATCCACTCATCAGTAGAATCTGGACCCTTTCTGTTACTGTTGCCTGAAAACAATGACAATTGCAGTGCAATTATCCTTGCATTGCCTTTCCCGTATAGCTTCGCGCACAAGGCGTCGACTGATTGTCGTGACTGGCTGGCCCTCCTGCCATAGACATCAAAATATCATGAGAGCAACTGGGCCACCACATACACTTCTACTTTCTCCCCTCTAGGCTTCAGGTATCCGAATGCTGAGCAGAAAAACAGAGAAATCATAAAGCATGAAAACTTTTACAAACCTGTAGTAGTCTGTGAACAAAAGCAACAGCATCACTTGGTCCAAACACCTAAACATTAGAGTTGTCTTTTGTTAATATAGGCAAAGATTGAAAAACTAAAGGCAAGGATGTAGAGATCCCTTTCAAGTCATAACAAGTTGAGAAATAGTTTTCAGAGAGAGATTTACGCCCCACAAGCCATCACAACCAAGGATTATGAAATGATCTCTGCCAGTCAAATCAAAGGAACTGACATCAGGAATTGCAACCACGCCCACCTGAAGAATCATAGAAAAGAATAGCATGTGATGTACAAAGGAGTGTGTGTGTGTGTGTGTTATTCTCCAGCACACCTGCCAGATTTAGAGCACACATACCCCCACCAATAGACAAGAAGGTATACATATATATATATATATATAAGAATATATAGAGACCCTAGCATCAGAATGTGAAATATATAAGGTCGCTTGAGTATCCTCTCCATTTCTTAATAAGGAAAAAAAAGATTGGAAAAATTAAATTATGCTAGTGAACATGCATATGAAGATGCTATAACATAATTGAAAGGACACATGGCATTCACAATAAGAAATATATAACCTTCTTGAATTGTCGGTCTCCGAATGCTCTGGAAACTTCAAGTCGTCCCTGCAACCGCCCATTTGTACTTACAGAACCACCAGCCTGAAAATAAGATAAGTGTCAACTGCACTTACTTAACTCCACATTCAAACTGAACATACATAGAAATTACAACCAATCAAATAAAAATACCCATCTTTTGACAAGCCATGCGAGTTGCACCAACTAAAGTTTCTTTTGCTTCTCTAATATTCATAATGTTTTCAGTTTGCAACATGGGCAGTTGAAAAAATAAAAGCAGGTGTGAAAAGATACTAGTATAACTTTCTTCATCAACTCCTAACATCACTCGATGGATGAGGACTAAGGCATCACTGAGCATTTGTTTTTGATGTTTGAATAAATTCACCTTCTGAATTCGTGCACGTTCTTGTGGATAAATGGCTTTGTGTTCTCTTGTTAAAACAATGGCCTTAAGTGGATTGGACCCATCTGCTGCAGATGATCTTGCTACAACAGCTTTTGCATCACCAATATTAGCTACAAACACCTGAGTAGCAGGTAAAAGTGGAGCAATTGTAAATTCTCACTGGATATGCTTTTCTATGTCTAATTGTCTACAGATCTTGCTGTGGTCCTAAATACCTGAAGATAACTTTACAACAATGCATTTCAATAATATAATAGAGACCCGGAATAATTACTAGCAATCCATGAGTAGTGTCACTCACTGTCTTCATCAGACCTTTCATGATACTGCTAAATATAGGTCCCAAGAAACTGCCTTTGTTTCAATTTTCATTTGAATAGTGATGCCGAAAATTTTATGCACGCAATAAAATTCAATAATAAACAAATGATCAACTTCAAGTGTATTTATGCATGAAGAACTAACTATGGAATCTTATCGAAATGGCTCTAACTATATTGCTTTGCTGCCTTTAAATGCATATGCAATTCAAAGCATTCATACTTATTATTTTTGCAACCAAGAACAACCCAATGCCACTACCATCTTTCCCAGCATAAGTCATTAATCAACACAATTATTCGTACCCACAAACCATAGGGGAGCATATTGAATATTTGAATTACATTAAACTTACCGTTTGATCCAATATCCACACACATACAGCTGTAGCACCATCCTGCCATCCTCCTACCAAGAAACCAAAGTTAAAAAGGACACTACTATATATACATAATATCTAGACATGCAATATAATACTTCGAAGAAACTGTGGAGATGAAACAAATATCAGCATGTTCATATGTTCAAATGATAAATTAAAGAACAATGCAGAATTAGGATTGCACCAAACACTTTATAAAATACAGATGCAAATGAAGGGTAAAGGAGAGACTAGGCCAAAAGTTGTGTTCTTGTAGCCTATATAGGATACATGAAAAACAATGGACATTCAATCTGGTGCAAAATGATTCAACAATTCAGCTTGTAATTTAGCACTTTGAGGTTATTAACCATGGACCAATCAGATAAACAGGTCATTTCTCAAATGTTTTCTTTTGAAAGTAAAGTAATTTGATACATGAAAATAGTTCAGAAAGCAACAGGAGACTACCACAGTCAAGTAAGCCCTTTTGGGTTTCGCAAGAGTTTCCGAATTCCAATGCATTAATTGTTAAACCAAAAATGAATACAACCACACAAATATATATATATATATATATATAGAGAGAGAGAGAGAGAGCTGAACCATTGAGGGTGAGAAAATGTTGTATACAGTGAGATGTTTAGAAAGATAGGGTGTGTTTACTTGTGAGATTTTGGTTTTTGGTTTTGGTTTTGAATAGTAAAATTTTGAATTGAAATAGTTGTTTGACGTGATATAAATACGTATTGATGTGATGTTTTGAATGTAAAATTTAATTTTAGTATAATATAATAAATAAAAGATAGATGTTTGATTTGATGTTTTTGGGGGAAAAAAGAAGTTGGAATAGTATAACGGAAAAACAAATCTCACAAGTAAAAAACACCCATAATAAAATTTTGGATTTGAGTAGCAAATATTTTCATCATATTATCTCTATATCTTAGAGCACACTATGAACAACCTGCAGCACTTTCCAGAAGAAGAGCCTCATCTGTTTTCCGAAATCCTATTCAAGAAAAATAAAAAATAAAATAAAAAATAAAGAAAAGAAAAGAAAAAATAAAGAGCCAAATGATAACTAAATCATGAAGAGGAAATGATAACTATGATAGGCTTTTAAAATATTTTACGGACAAAGTGAGACCACAGGCATACCATTAAGTATGGCCTTCTTTGCAGACTTGACATCCAACTGAAAGTTTCATCAGGATGCAAAGTTTCAATTGGTAAGAATGAGATAGAACATTTTCGCAGTTTTAAAGCAATCACATTAAAAAAAAAAAAAAAAATCCACTAAATGTCTAGACAAACAGACCAACTCACGTGGTAACCCAGCTGAAAGCACATTTTCATTTAAGTGCTTCTGTGCATAATCCGCAGCCAACCGACCTCCATGCCCATCGTAAATAGCAAAATGTGCACATCTATAAAGAATAAGGCAATAAGAAATGGGGCATTCCTATGGAATTAAATTCAACGAAACCCATACCTTAGAGATAAACAAACTGTTTCAAAATATAAGATAATAATTAATCTTGAGATTAAGCAATGATAAAACATGATGAAAATTGGATAAACTCTTGTGGTTTATATATAATGGCCAAAACAGGAGCAGAGCCTCCATGACTGGTATTTTAATTTTTACATTTAGCTTAAAAGGATAAAAGTACAACGCAGCAAAAGAGAACTAGATTAGGTAATGATAAAGGGACCTCAAAATTCCAGGGAAATTAAAGGCAGCGTCATGAAGCACGACCCAAGCATCCTCCATAGTATGCCTCGACCCTTTATCTTCGGCGGCATCGGCCTCTATCTCAAAGAAGCCCTCGCGAGCAGAGCTGTTTGCATTCGAAGCTTTGGCGGTATTGACCTGGTTCTCCGATTCCTCCCCAGTCTTGATTCTTTTCTTAAATAAGGAATCGGAATCATAGAATTCACTCGGGCGTTTGATGTCTGAAGAATCTGCGACGGAATTGGAAGCCGGTGTAGTCATTTTGGTAGAAGGGATGACAGAGAAACAGGAGCAGGCCGCTAGCGAGAAAGGAGGAAGAAAATTAGAAGCCAGGCGGAAAAAGGTGAAACCGCAGTATATCGTCTGCCGAAAAAACAAAGGGTGGGGCACACACATTTCGCCCTAGTTATAAATATTAAAAAATAATAATAATAATAATAAATATATTTTATTCAAAATGTTTATTTTTTATTATTTATTCTTTATATTTTTTAATAATATATATACATATATATTTATAAAAATATAATATTATTTTAATTTTAAACTTAAATCAAATTCTTTTACCAACTAATCAAAAGAAATACACAAAATTAATTTTAATAACTTACTTAAAAGTTAAAATAATAATAGTTAAATACTAATTTATTTTTTAATAATAAGATAAAGTGATTAAAAAAATTAAGTGAATTTATAGCTTTTTGGATTAAAGTATTTAATAGTCATAATTAATATTTTTATTAAAAAAAAAACTACATTAAATTGTATAAATCAACATTGCCTCATGCACGAAGCACCATCAAGTTGGCGTCAAAATTTTGGCCTCTATACACCCATCAATGTATATTGTTTTTCAGAGGCCAACTAAAAAGCCTCTTAAAATGAAAAAATAAAAAAACAAGGGCCTCCACAATCGGGCCGTTGGATTGCTCTAACACCAAACTTCAGAGAGAGGGAAACATAGATAGTAAGTAACTGATGCCCTTGAGTTAAGAAGGGCTGTGTGTGCGTGAGAGAGAGAGTAACTGACCCTAAACCTAGATAAACAGTACAAACCTTCCCATGGGCGAATGAGGTAGTAAACCTGCCAATATGATGATGGATGTTGGGCTAATTTGTTTTGCTTGGCTACAGTTGCTACGTACATTTCGTAGATCCTTCCCAACAGACAGGCAGTCGTTCAAGCACAATAATATTTTACTATAGGAGAAGAAATGTGTATCTTGAAGAAAGAGCCTTATCAGGAAGACGCAAGCTTCATCACCACAACAACAGCCGACAATCAAATGGGCCCTTATATATCCCACCTCTTCTTCACGCGGAACATCAAAGCTGACGATTTGATGTTATCTTGGGGAACTTGGAGCATCAACTGCACCTTCATCTTCATGGGAGCTGTTTTCGCCTTGCCTTCTTCATCTCCAACCTGAATCATATGTTGTTGCACATTAGTTTCCAATGTCTGACTGAATTCATTATTTCAGGCGAAACTCTGCTCAATATCATGCAACAAGATTCATCACAGAAATATAATCAAGAGGCATCAGCCTTACACAATTGTCAACAGAAGTCAGGAGTGTAAAAGTACGTGATAAAAACAACTTTTGGATTATGATATATTAATTACCTTCTCACCTAAAAGCATGAGCTTTAATGGATTCACATTATTTATTTATTTATATAGTTGTCAACCAACCTGACATAAAACTTCACTTCTACAAGCACATATAGATCACTCATCCCACCAAACCTACCATACCAAATGGGGGAGTCAGCTTAGCAAACTTACTGATCCTTTTTTATCTTTTCTTTATTAATTGCATCCTTCCTTCCTTATAACATTTTTTTCGTAAGCAATTTCATAGGCCAAGTCAGAAAGCAATTATCAAAGAATAACAGGGATTCAGAGAAGTTCAACAGTTTGAGACCAAAAGATCGTAGCTTTCTCCTGCACATCAAGCCTTTTGAACTATTAGCAGAACAAGCCCAGCACAGCAAATTATCGTGGTGAGATCACTATTATTGTCTTGTAATCAAATTGTCTTGTAATCAAATGGAAGAGGAAACATAATAAGACTAACCCAGATGGATGCCCAACCCAGTCGAACTTCAGAATCATAACCAGCTTTGAACTTATAATCCTTCCCAACAGTATGTTTGTAGACAGCATTCCAATTGTCCGTGTCAAAGTAGTATGAATAGCTGAGAACAGAAACTAAGCAAGTCAGATTCTACACAGAGATATTTAAATATATACTGGACTATACAAACTAATTTCAGAGTGATAAAGCCTAGGCTTAATATCTAGCCAATTCATATTTATTTTGCTTGGCAAGAGGAAAGGAGTGGAGCACCTCAATTTGTCTGAAGAGCTGAATCTTCGCTTAAATACGCACGATAATGCATTTGAAGGCAGAGAAAGACTTGGAATGAATGTCATTTGCTCATCCTGCAAGTAAAATTTTATGAATAATGCAGCACCGCACGTTTGGGTGAAATAGTTGTTTTTGTGATGTTTTCTACGGAAATTTGGTACTTATTTCATCATTCAAATTTATGTTTACTTTTTTGTTTGGACTGTCCTAAAAAATGTTATTACTTTTTTTTAGTAAAAAATGAAAATTATTTTTTGTCATTTTTAATTATAAAAAAACAAAAAGGTAACAAAAGTAACACATTAAAACCTGTGCCCAAAAATTTGAATACAGATTTTAAAAGGGGGTAGTACGTTTTTAAAGAGAATCGTCATGACGTAATATAGTTAAAAGAAAGGCTACAATCTTTAGTAGTTTCTAAAACATTGTAACGAACTTTCAGCTAAAGGCATTACCAAAAACAAAAATACCATTCACTCAAAGATGCCAAACAGAAACTACCTTGTATGCATATCTTAAATTCATAGTATCCTCATTGTATTGGGCAGTGCACACTCCATTCAGAATGTGACCTTTAAGGATTCCACTCACTCCTAAAGTTTTCTTCTGTTCCTCAGCTTCATCATCATCTTTCTCCTCCAATGAAATTTCACCTATAGGAACTTTAAAAGTTGCTCTTGGCTGCAGAGAAAAAATTAAATATTCCATATAACCATTTAAGGTTTTCTGCATTAGATTTCAAATTAAAACAGTTTACGGTTTTATGGTGAAAGCTGAATTGCGTCTAACTTCATATTACTACAAATCACAGTTTGAAGTTACCTTCAGTTAGCCACATTTCATAAAATGAAAATTTAAGAAATTCCAAGCCAAGCAACACTCACCAAACCAACTGATGGAACAGCAGACGACAGTTCAACTGTGTATGCAGGGCCAGCAAGATCTGCCACCATGGAAACCTCTCCTTGTTGAGCCTAAAAGTTAGTTGAGGTAGATTAAGCGGTTGACTATTAAGTATGGAACACCCATGTATGTAAAGCAGCAGTTAAACAGTTCTTTGCCCTCACTAACTTGGACTTTGATTCGTAGCACAACTAGTGACTTAATGATTTGATGGTGAAAAATAGCTCAACTTAATAATTCATTAGGGCTGAGTGCGTTGGTAGTATAAAACACTCCATTAAATGATAAAGACCTGACGTAACAGCTAGATTAAAAACACATTATGGAAAAACATGCAAACCAATCTATTTGAACAACTTAGTATAACTCATATAAAAAATGTTCATGGCCGTGTCTCACAATGTGAAAATATTGACAATGAACTAATTACCATTGAACAATACACCGATGAGCAAGTGATAGATCAATGGGGGTAAATTTATTAGTCCTGTAGAATGATATCTTTCTTGCAATCTTGCCCCCATACATAAAATAGAGAAATTCCTTTTTACTAACTTCAAAGTAAAAGGCAATGGAATCCATTCCCTATGCTATAGTAGTTGGGCACTTAACATACGCTCAAACATGTACAGGGCCACATCACATTTGGGAATCAATCAACAAAAGGATTTTTGTTGAAGATGAGTCCTATTAAGAAGTTTCTATCAACAAGATAAAAGTGAGAGTCTTCACATAGACTTATTAATTGAAAGAGCATTTTCATGGGGAAATGGAAAATTGTAACACCCCGGCCGGCTCAAACCGGAGCGTCACCGCCACGCCACACCGGAAGGCTCGTTCATCAATCAACAAGCCCTACGTTGTGGCGCTAAGGCTAAAACAATAAATACGAACAACTAGATAAGGATTTAAAATTTACAGCGCACCGGCTTATCATTTAAATAAATAAAGTTCGAGTCAAAAGCATAAGTTGTAAATAGTTCTTAAACATTAATAATGGATTTCAAAAATATTTTAGAAGACAAAGTAATTATAGTTCTCCACGATGGATCATATGACGTGGATGTATCATTTAGGTATAACAGAAACATGATCACCTACAAAAAGGTTACAAGAAGAGGGTCAACACAACGGTCGCAATTAATCAGAGATAAATTAATACGGTATAATGCCACAAAATCATTTGAAGAACATAATTTGAATAAGATAACAAATAAGGATAACTCACACACACGACTTTTTTAGCGCCTCCCTTATATCTCCTTTTCATTCTCAAATAACAGTGATAAGCACATCACGAAGAAAACTCCACTAGGCCTTAATCAGGACCGGCTCGACCCGATTTTCCAACCTTATTACTTCGTATGACACGTCACATAGTTTCACATAACAAGCATAGGGTCACAACCCTCAAAGGAAACTCCCACAATGTGTACATAAGGGTTCGAAACCCAAAGTACACGTAAATCAATTTATTATTAGTTTGCGAGGGGCGCCAAGCGGCCCACAACCCTCTAGTCTCCAATATAACATACCAAGAGGGGGTTGTACGCAATCCATCCTTCCATCACGGATGACGGTCTAAAAACCTTTTTATCATGAATGACGGACACCTCGGAATCACCCAAAAGGGAACCCGTCATCTCGATCCCTCGACCTAGCCCATTCGGGATCTAGTTCAAGGTTAGCTAGTTATCCTAAAATACCGGTATACCCTCACGTGTTTGCAAGGCACATAGGTGGAAGGCTATACCTTATCATCCAAACAATCGACGAGTTGATCGGATTCGATGGGTAGTTTCAATTACCAATTTGACCAAATACTCAACATGCTTTCATTGACCAAATACTCAACATGCTCTTAGGCAAATTTAAAAAAGAGTATTCTAAACTCAAAATATTCTAATTGGCAACATTTAATCAATCAAAAGTAGGATATTAGACCCAACAAGTTCGTTATAATCTCACTTTATTTCGCCAAATAAACACTCGAAAAATATGTCAACCACAATAGGCATGGTCTAATTTCAAAAATCATAATATTTAAATATAATCGTAAATCTCTTTCCAAAAACTATAATTACGTTAGGGCAAAGCTAGGGTTTCAAACACATCCCATAAATTCTACGATTTTTAATTTAAAATCCAATAATAACCTTCACATAAGCTTTAGGTGACATTATAATCAACCTTTTAGAAGAAATTGGCAAAACCTAATCCTTTTAGGGCAAACCCATTTGACAATAATTTTGAAAAATAATATCAATAGAAGAAGCATAGGGATTAGAACGTATCATAATTAATCCCATTTACCTTAAGAGAATAGACCAAAAGAATTATCATAATTAATTATTTTCTTTTTTTCTTTTATTTTATTTTATGCTTTATTACAGAGGCACTCTAACCTGGATATGCTATATCTTAACCAACTATGGATACGTTATATCTTATCAAATCCACACTCGGATATGATATATCTTAACAAATTATGATAAAGATACCTAAATTAAGAGATACTGATAAACTAAATCTAATTTATTATTTATTTTACCCTAAATTCAATGTTACTCTTAATTTAAAGTCAATTCCTTAATTTCTTATACCAAAATCCCAAAATAAATTAGCCCCAAAATAATATTGTCCGACTCCGGCGAACTTCCGGCGAGTATTTTTACGAGGTATTACAAAAATAGTCCATCTTTTCAACTTCCACTCTAAAGGTAGAATTTGTGGCATGCTTGAAACCATAGTTCATTGGTTGCGGTTGCGTGACATCATGTTAGGTTTAGCCATTTTCTTCTGTATAAATGACAAATATACAAAGCATGCTCATAGATTCAAATGTCAAAACTCAAAGCATCTATCAATCATTTTGGTACTAATGCCCTAAACTGTAATTGACCATGCTGAAAGAATTATGAATGAATCCTTGTTAGCATAATACTGTAACCTATATATATATATATATATATGTGTGTGTGTGTACAATCTATGAGTTCTAATAGGATGGATAACATGGAGACATGGTTTGCTTATTTGCTTCTTACTACTCTAATGCTGTATTCAGTGTTTTGGGTAAACAAAACAGCAAATTCCAGTGATAATAACAGTTTATCATTAAATTAAGATTGAAGATTTTTTAATCATGTCAGATCCTGTGACATCCAAGATCCAATTAGCTTCAATTCATATGGAGGATTGCATAAGCCATTTTTTACAAGCTGTTAATCGTGCTACTTATCAGACTGAAGTAACATGAAAAAGGGACCCCCACAATAATTGTTAGACCACAGAAGATTTATAGCCTTGGGGCTGTGAAATTGAATCCCTTTCTCTTTCCATTATATATGTAATTAAAAAATAATAATTCTAGTTTTCCGATCAAAATAATAATAATAATAATAATTCTAGGGACAGAACATCGAAGGAAAGAGGAAAATTTCCGAGCTTTCAACAGTCAATTGGCGGTGAGAATTAACAATTTATTTAAAGCTGGCCACGGATTCAGGTAATTTTATGTTTGTTCTTGATGACAGCCACAATGAATCTTAGGCTCAACATACGAATTTTACACTATATATGATACCATTAAAAACTATTATTATCTGTTTAGCTACTTAAGAAGGTTTTTTAGACCCATACAAAGTGCAAATATCGAGTCCATGGAAAGAAAATCCAGAAATGAGATAGTCACAAGAAAATGTTAGCAGTTTCATCGGCATTAGTAAAAGTCTATATCAGAGCATATGGATAGAAAGGGTCAGCACCGAATATGATATTGAACCACCGGTTAAAGAATACCTTGACTTGATGGGCAGCTCTGACTTGAAATCCAGACGCGACTTCAAAGGACGTCTTGAGCAGAGCATCGCTCTCTTCGACATCGTAGTGCATCGAAAAGAACTTGGAAACAAAAGATACTTGGGGCACGGACACTTGCCCTTTGCTGTCGTTGTGAAACGTCAACTTCAATTTAGGTAACTTATCCAATAATTTGCACGACACCTTGTGAAGGAAAACGGACGTCACGCTGTCGAACTCTGAAGTCACTCGAAGCTTTGGCCGACGAATTTGGAGGAATCCGCCAAATCCATCGGCTCTTGTGGTAGGGGAAGGAGCGGCGATGGATTGAGAGATGGATTTCGCATCCGCCATTTTTGCTTTAAAGCAAGAATATCCTCCTTTGGTAGTTCTGTTTTCCAATTACGAGGAGAGTAAAATGTGGGGTTTCGCTCGGAAATGGGGATTGGGATCGATCCTTGCTACAGCAGTCTGCATTTGAAAAATAGAGATTTTTATGTTTCTTTAGTCAATTTTTTCAAAATTTTATCATTTGCTCTTTTTTTATTAAAAAAAAAAAAAAAAAACACACCCTATTGGGTGCTGATAAAATTATCACAACTTTACTTAGAGTTTGTTTTTTTAATCCCAATCTGAAAAGTTTTTATTATTTGGATTCTATTTTTTTCTAAAAAAAAATATATATATTTCATTCACAAAATATTTTATTATATACTTTCCGTCCCTATACAATAATCTCTCATTTTCATAAATAACTATATCACTGTAAAATTATCGTTATTTTTTCATATTATTACATAATTGCCACTACTTTTTAAGCTAATACACTCACAAGGATAAAAAAGTCTTTTACTCGTACTTTTTACTCACTACCAATATAATATCAATATTTTTTTAAATCTCGTGTCAAACACAAATCGGACTATTATTCTGGGACGGAGGAAGTATTATTTTAATATTAAATTCAAAAATTGAAGTTATATTTTTTTTTTTCTTTTCTACTCGAAGGGTCTCATTTAGTTATTATATTTAACAATAAAAATATTTTTATATTTGTATAATTTTTTACATAAATTTTATTATAATAGTATTATAATTTTGTCATTTTTTCTGATTTGTACTACGTGATATAATAATTAATATTTAAAAATCAATACAAAAAAGTAAACGAAACCATAGAGCCGGACGGAGGTAGTAGTATATTTGACAATTAATTGATAACTAATACAATTAATTGTTAGTTAATTCTATTAATTGATTTCATTAACGCAATATATTAACTATTTAGCTAAAATTTTTAGTAAAATAATTGTTTGATATTAGGTGATTATACTTCAAATGATAATTAAGTATATTTTAAATATTTATAAAAAATATTTAATTATATTTTTTTGGATGTTTAGAAATTTTTCAAAATTTTATTATTATTTATTGAAAATTATGAAAAATTTACTAAAATTAAAAAAAAAAATTAAAAGAAAACTAATACTTTGTTCCAAGTGTTTTCTTTAGATTCTTTTTGTTTGTTCCAAATATCGGTAATATTTCTAAAATAAAGAAAATAATTAAATATATTTAATTTATATTTCAAATTTTATCTATCATATAATTTAAATAATATATATATTTTTATTTCATTATATCACTTGATTCCCAAATTATGTTAATTAATATTATTCATTTAAATTCTCGTATCAAAGTTAAATTTAAAAAAATATAAATATTTTTTTCATTAAAAATAGTATAAAATGTAAAAAAATAAATTATTTGTAAATATATATTTTTTATTAGATTAATAAATTATTCTTTTAAATATATATAAGTTTAATAATATTTTTATTTTTATTTTTCCTTTATTTTAACAAATTTTAATATGTACAAATTAAATAATTTACATAAAAAGAAAAAAAAACAATTATTATGTAATAGAGGGGTATCATATCATTCTTTGTAATTTCGATGAATAAATATATTGTTGTTCAATTCTATTTTTTAAATATATATATATACTAATATTTTTGTTTTTTTAACTTTATAAAGTTTTCAACTATCATCATAAAAAAAAAAATAATAAATAAAATAAATAAATAAAAATAATAAAATTGATAGACATTAATTTTTAAAATTATATATATTTCAATTTTTCATATATTTTGCTTACTAAGAATTAAAAAAAAATGAATATTTTTATTTTAAATTATGTGTTATTTAAGTATTTAATTTTAATTTTAGTTAAGTTGGTTAGTTAATATTTACAAATGAATATTTTTATTTAAATAATTATTTGTTGGATGCTTATTGTTACGAATGTCAAATTGCCGGTTCAAAATTAATCAATTGTTATAAAAAAAAAGTCAAAATTGTAGTGAAAAATTGACTTGTGAAGCAAAAAAATTGGTCTTTTAAGCAAAAATGTGACCGCAACGAAAAGTTAACGAAAGTCAACAATCAATAAACAAAAGTCAACGGTCAACGTAATGAAAAAAAATTAAATAGAGTGATCATCAATTATGCACCGAAGTGAGTGGGTATAGAAGTGAACGTGGAGCATTTATAAGCGAAAATATTAACGAGGGAAATGACTGCATTAATTTTGCACAGAAACTTCCTACTGCAACATTAAATCCGCCCTCATTTTCCGTTTCACATTAGCATGTGTTATATATACAAACCACACACATTAGTATTACACACAACATATGTTGTGTATAATAAATGTTTGTGCTATTTTTTAATAATAACAAGTGTGTTGTATAAAAATACGTTATGTGTTCAAATTAACTGTTCTGTGTGATGTATGAGACTATAGTCTGTGCTGTTAGTTCATGTGTTATATTTGTATTATATTAACATATACAATGTGTTGTTTGTAGTAATATTGTGTGTCGTCTGTAATAATATTGTGTACTGCCAGACAACACATGATGTGTTGTTGAAACTATATCATGTGTTTTTGTTAATGTGTTGTATTTGTATTATATTAGCGTATACAGTGTATTGTATGTAATAATATTATGTGCTGTCAAATAATACACAATGTATTGTTCAGCATAGTTAAATTCAGCACGGTAACCGCCGTTATTCTCCCTGTGTTGTATTTATTACTCATGCACTTAGTCAAATTTTGATTGTTTTAGGTAGTTTTTTTATTTTATAACATTTTAGAGATAGATAGTTATTAGTGAAATGCATTTGAATTGTTTAAATTAGATTTTTAATAAGGTTGCGGAAGTGAAGGGTTAACTACCCAAATCTAAGATTGCGTAACCAATGAATATTAGTTAGTTGGTAACATTTAAGTACGTTTAAAACCTTGTCAACCTGTTTAATCGTGAGTTTAATCTAATACCAATTAAAGAGTAGTATTAAAAAAATGGAGTCACTAGCGAAACAGTTTATGTAATAGTTCATTAGACATAGATGTTTGTCTGTTGGGTTGCGAAAATGTCCAATGACAGTAACTTTTCTTTTAAATAATATTTTTAGCTGGGTGTCACTGAAGTCTGGTTGTACATCATCTAATGTAAAAATTCAAACTTAAGCAAACTAGTGTGATCACACTCATTCATCAAAATCACCCCACAATTATACATATATTATTCTCTAAAATACTATTATCATTTCGCTCATTTCTTTGAAGGTGATCTAGCCATTTAGAAAAGTAAAAAATTATACACAAACACATCTTTTCATCCTCCTCGTTATATATATATTTTATGGTCATTTAATTATATTAAAATTTGTCAGGTTACTTTTCTATTTTTATTGCATCAATATATTACACTTTTTTTAGAATTAAACATACGATAATAGTTTGTGTGTTTGACTTGAACACTCACCAGTTATTTTATTTATTTTTTTGGATAAAATTTTCGAAGTTACTATACGAACACACAATTATATTATTTTCATTTTATACCATTATTATTATTACTATTTTATCTCAAAAAATATATTTTTAAATTTGTCAAAACTTATCATCTCTTAGAGCACGGACACGCATATATGCTTCAGGTTTGTGTAGTATCTATTAGTTGTGTGTCAGACTTGGTTGTGAATCGTCGATTTATGATATGCCTATACTCAATAATCAATTACATCATCAAATAATTCCAATGCGTACGGTACATGGATATTTTCCAGGTTATGTCCATTCCGTAAGTACTCGACGAACTATCTTGATATAAGCCCTGATGAGAATCCAAGTAGGTGATCTTTCTGTTCAACTTCATTTCTAATTACATGTGTGCCAATTTTCCACATTCGGAAGAGTACAGTACAGCCAGCCAGGAATTATGTTTACAAAAAACATTTATATAATAATCTGTGCAGTGTGGGTTACCCCTGATCTCTTATATATCAAGTACAAGTTGACACTGCAAACCAAAAAAATAAAATACAAAATGAGGACAAGACCCAAAGTTCAAAGAGGATTCATGAATCCACGCTAATGTCCTTTTCCCTGGGACTAATATTATAATACAAATACTAATTAGTCATGTATAATTAACAAAATCACCATTACCTCAGAAAATTCAAAACATTCAAAAATCGTTGTAAGTTGAATCTCGACTGGCTAATATTGAATTCGGCTAAAAGACTCTAGCTTTAGTTCATGAACCCAACAAGATTAAGACGAGAAGGTGAAAAAAGTGTAACACACGTACGTCTGTTCCATCAGTTGACCCGACCAGACCTACTGTAGAAAACTGATAAGTCAATCAGATATATAAATATATATATATATAATATATAATTTGATTTGATGACACGAGACCATGTAACATCCATCCATCACATTCCTACACACAAACATGGCAATATTTTACAGGTATACTTCCTACCAAACATTATTCCATTACATGCAATTGCTTCTACCCAACTTTTATTGTTTTATCTATAAATAAAGATTGCCATCTCTGTGTCCCATTCCAAGTTTCTTTGAAATATTTGCTTCAAGTCAGGTATTCAAAGAACTTCACCAGCAATGGCATTATCAGGTGTTCAAAATTACTTGGCATTCATCTTCGGCCTTTTGGGTAAGTTCTAATTAATATAGCTAGCGCTCATGAGTAATCTTTAAAGCTTAACTCACCTGACCATGCATGATAAGCCGTTTTTACATTGGCTAGGCTTACTACCTAGCTAGCTACCTAGTTGCAATGATAATATTAATTCAATGTGATCAAGTTTTAATTATTTCTATTATTAACTTGCACATTTGTTATGCATGTGCTCAGGTAACGTCATATCATTCCTGGTATTTTTGGCGCCAATGTAAGACACACAATCAATCAAGAAAACTATATATATATATATATTTATGTATGTATATAGTATGCAGCTGTATGCATAAAACATACCGGAATAAATGTCTATATATGTATGTATGCACGAATGGAACTATATGGTTGCTAGGGGCAGCTGATCCTCTACCCCAATATATGAATATATTTTAGTGTAAAACTAATAATATTATAGTGCATTTTTTCTGTCACATTTTAATCGACATTTTTTTTCTATTTTATAATAATTTACAATTTTTATTTTGGTTAATACTTACTATATAAAATATATTTAATAAATCTAAATTAATTTAACAATTCACTCAAAATTTATTTATTTCTATTTATTTTCTCAATAAATAAATATTTTTATATATATTTAAAACTTCCATATGTCTTATAAAATTAGTTTATGTTAATTATAAATAAATAAATAAATTATTTTATTTACTTAAGGAGTCATCATGTAGAGGACGGAGGAAGTATCATAATTTACCATATCACTAATGAAACGTTTCGATTCAAGAGGGAAGGAGGAATATTTTTATTATTATTATTATTAATTTTTTCATTCTAATTTTTTATTTTTTAGTGTAAAAATCTTTAAATTTTACATGGTTTTGTTGGATAAAAATGAAATATTTTGCCCCCCCCAGAGTTTTATGGCGGTTCCCGGCATGTATGTATGTATGTACCTACTAGTGATTGATTATGTATCAATTCACTTATGCACGCATATACTGCAACTGCAGGCCAACTTTTTACACAATTTGCAAGAAGCGAACGTCCGAAGGGTTTCAGTCCATACCTTATTCAGTGGCCTTCTTCAGCGCTTCTTTATTATTATACTATGCTGTGCTTAAGACGAATGCCTATATGATCGTCATCATCAACGCTATTGGATGCGTCATAGAAGTAACTTACATCTTGATCTACACGATATATGCCCCCAGGAAGGCTAGGGTAAAGTATCTCGTGTATTAATTAATAATTTAATTAATTTGCTCCGATCCAAGTAATTATTAATGATCAAGTTCTCTCTCATACACACATACATACTCACCTCACGCACTGCACACACACATTCTCTCTCATCAGCTGCCTTGCCTTGCTTGGCTGCAGATTTTCACGGTGAAATTGTTTCTCTTATTCAACGTTGGAGGCTTAGGGATGATTATGGTAGTTTCCTTACTAGTTTGCAGAGGTGCCAGAAGGGTCTCTGTGGTGGGATGGGCGTGTGCTATTGTCAACCTAGCTGTATTTGCTTCTCCTCTGAGCATCATGGTAAAATCTTTTTTACATTATTATTACAATAATGTTGTTTACCATTTTTATCATTCCCAAAACAATAGTTTTATTTTCATAAATAATCATATCACCATAAAACTATCTAATTTTTCATTTTTATTACACAATTGCCACTATTTTTTACACTAATATACTCACATGGGCAAAAAAAATTTTTATCCATACTTTTTACTGACTACCAATATAATATCAATATATCTTCCCGTGCCCAAACCTATGAGACGGAAAGAGTATTATTTTTAATTTTTCATTATTATATATACTTTGACAGAATTAATTAGTTACTACTACTATTGTTGGAATTAGTAATGACTTTGTCACAACGTTCCAAATTTCTACACCGTGCCCCGTGGATATATAATAGGATGGAGTTAGATAATTGAGAATAATGTTAATACGTATACATATATGTGTATATATATATATATTGTGGTAATTAATCTTATAGCACAAACGAGAGTGCAAGACCTATCCATTCTTTGATTGCCACTCCTAATAAGATATTCAATTTAAAACCTTTTTAGAAAGTATAAGGTATATTCTATAATTTCAAGATAATGAGTTTCGACTTGATTAGGATTGTCCTCAAATTTGGACCTCAATAACAATTGAAATACATCGGTTTTGTTCAGTTCTGTTATGTCCTGCCGAAGCCGATTAATGGTTCCTTGTCGTTAGAACTCCCATATGTAATGTTTCTTGACTTGAACTTTTTTTTTTTCCTCCACCATTAAAATTGTTGACTTGGAACAGAGACGGGTCATAAGGACTAAAAGCGTGGAGTTCATGCCATTCACTCTATCATTGTTTCTCACCCTTTGTGCGACAGCGTGGTTCTTCTATGGATTTTTCGTCCGGGATTACTACATTGCAGTAAGTACCAAAATGATTCATTAATATCCAAAGAAATAATTTTTTTTCATCCTGCCTGCCTGTCTGTCTTCTCTTTGGATTCATTTGTTAACTAATTATTAAACTCAAGCGTGGTTGATGGATGATCCAGTTGCCCAATGTGTTGGGGTTCCTATTCGGAATTGCTCAAATGATCTTGTACTTCGTTTACAAAAATGCAAAGGAAGGTGCTGAGACGAACCTCGAGCTGGAGCCAAACAAGAATATAGAAAAGAACGTGAGTAGCTTGGATGCAGATGCAGACTCAGACTCAACGCAATAATTAATTTAGCTGCAGGATGCGAGGACTATTATACCTAATTACCCAATTAAGGAGTGGTACCGAGAGAGAGAGAGAGAGAGAGAGAGTAATAGTAGTAGCAGTAATCCCGAAATTAGAAGCTGTAGGGGGAGCGGATCACAGCGTGGGTGAAAACCATGCCCATAACATATAATAATATGTATTGCCCAGGTGGTAGATGAATAAAGAGTTTGAGCTCAGTGGTCGTACATGCATGTGCCGCGTGATCCGTGTATGTGTACCACGGTTGATGATGGTTGATGTTGGGGTAAATCTTAGAGATTGCTAATAAAAACAGACGTACTATTTTCAATATATTTATTTAGTAGACATGCACGAACCAGTAATTAGATTACCTGCACCTGGGAAAAAACCCCTCCAAAGTTGTTTCGATGGATATTCTTTTGCATTTTAAGTTCATTTCATATGCCTATAACATGTGGTTTATGCATAAATATATAGAGACAGACGCACGCACAAGAGTTGTTTTAATTTTTTTCATTTTTGTTCGTCCTAAAATAATTGTTTTATTTCTTTTATTTAGTAATTGCGTTCTCACTTTATAACAAAATTATTTATTTTTTTTTAACTACCTCTAATTATTACTCTAACATACTCCCTCCGTCCCACCACACTTTGACACTATTTCCATTTTTGTCTGTCACATAACAATTGACACATTTCTATTTTTAGTAAAATTATTAAATCAAAACATATTTAACAAATATAAATCAACTTAATTAACTACATAACATACAACATCATAAATGATCGTAGGACCCACTTAAAACCCATTTATTTCTACATCTCTCCTAAAAAAAATAATTATTTTTATCTATATTTAAAACTACAAATTTTTATAAAATTGATTTATGTTAATTATAAATAAACAAATTTTTTTTTATTTACTTGTATTATAGAAAATTTTATTCTCTACAAAATAATATCCATATATTTTTTAATTGCTATATAATTTTTAAATATTTAAACATATATTTTAATTATTTTTAATCATATATATTAAATTTACTTTAAAATATAAATATTATTAATTATTAAAAAAAATAATATAATAATATCATAACTAATTATTATTAACTAATTAAACATCCTCGCCTTAAATACAGTGTCCCTAATCAAAGGGTTCAACTCCGATAGGACGGAGGGAGTACTTTTTAAAAATCATTCAAAAAATAAAGGTATTTTAGTATTTTACATTCTACTTTATATCCACTTATGTATCTCCACCAAATCAGATATTTTTTCTGAACGGAGAGAGTATTTGATAAATATTTTGTGATATTTTATTCGAAAAATACAAAATTTAAATAAAAAAAATTGAAATTTTTTTAAATAAAGAAACACACCGTTTGATTTAGATTTTTATCATTTTTAATTAAAAAAATACTCGTAAAAATACTTTTTTTTTTAATAAAATATAATATCATTATTACTCTACACAAATTCAAATTAAACCCATCCACCCAAGATGCTCATTGCCGAAGAGAAAAGACTAATGGCGTCTTTGACAATTAGCTGGTAGCTATTAGCTGATTAGCTGATTCAATTAACTGATTTGACTAGCTGATTCAATTAGTTGTTTGTATTAAAATATTTGGTAAAACAAATGTTTGATATTAGCTATTTATACGTAAAATGACAATTAAGGACATTTCTATTTTATTTTTTTCAAAACATTTCAATTATGTTCTTTTGAGTTTAGAATGTTTGAAATTTTTCGTTATTAGTTATTGAAAATTGTAAAAGTGTTATAAAAGTATTTATTTTATTATAGTTAAATTTTAAAAATAATATATTTTTATTGAAATATATAAATAGTTTTTAAAATATAAAATAATAAATTTTTTGTGTATATATTTATTATGTTAGTTATCGATTAATTTATTATATTTATAATTTTTAATAAATTTAATTTACTTAATTTATCTTTAGTATAAAATTTATATAATGTAATTTTAATAAAAATAAGTTATTAATATTTATATTTTTTATTTTATGTTGATTTCAATAAATTTATATATTTTACAATTAAAATATTTTTTATATAAAAATTAATTATTTTAAATAAATAAAAGTAAAACTATAATATAATAAAATATTCTAATATAATTAATAAATAATCAAAATATATTTATTTGTGTTAAATGCATAATAAATTTTTAAGGGCATATAAGAATAAAAAATATTTTACAGAAAAAGTTATTTAAAAAAACTGGTAAGTTAGCTTTTCAAAAATTAACTTTTTGGGTCTGTTCCAAAAAGTTAATTTATAAACACCTAAATTAACTTTTTTATCAGTGAAACAGCTAAAACTGTTCAATAAGCAACACTCTTAAAAAAAAACTATTTGCCAAATACCCTCTAAATGAAATTTTTTTTTGTCCCCTAATGGATTACACTATAAGGCATTAAAAAAACGATTGCTCTTGCTTCACTTGTGGAGATATTAGAATTGAAAAAAAAAAAAAAAATTATTTATCTTTTTATAAATATTTAAATAATAATAATTATATTAAAATATAATATAAATTAAAAAAATAATAAAAAATATTTATATTAATATTTTATAATACTAACATAATAATATTTATAAAAAATATATATAAATATAAAAATATTTTTAATATTAAAAATAATGACAGCCAAGTAGTTCGATACAATAAAAGGAAGCGCAAGCTTCCAAATATTATCAACTACTTAGATATGATTCCCTTGGTATAACTTTGCGTTAAAAAAAAAAGCTCCACCCAAGCACTAAGATAAAACATCAATCATTGTTTAGACATTAAAATACGTACGCTTCCTAATTAATAATTAATCGATGTCAACCCAGCGCAGCAGCGGTGCTGGTCGTGGCCACAACTATATTTTTGATTCCTTCCATGCTCATTTTCTCGCGACGACGTGTATACGCTGTTACATCTTATTTGTTTATTTATACCTGAGCCTGAGCTTGAATTGTTCCACATCTATCTCTCTATCTATAACTATCACTCTGCACATTAATTTCGATCCGGCCGTTCAATTCATGCATGGAGTTGAATTTGGTTCCGGCCGGTCCCATAACAAGCTGCAAATACAGCTGTGCCGCTGCTGTTCGCAACTCATTCCAACTTCTCACCACCACTCTCCTCAGCCTCCTCCTCCCTCTCTCGTTCCTCCTCCTCGCCCGCCTCTCCACGTCTCATTACCTTCTTTCCGTCTCCGACAGTCACCCTACAGCGCAGGCCGCCGCCCCTAATCTCTTGTGCTCGCTCTTCTTATACACTAAGACTCCCACAATTCTCCACATACTAGTTTCTCTAGTTACTGTATCGTCTTTAATCCACGCCTTGACAGGTAAAACCACAATATTCATCGGCCATAATTCGCATCACCAGCCGCCCGTAACACGATCGCGCTTATGCGGTGCCTGGGTTCTTCTCTGCCTATTTCAACTTTGCGTCGGCTTGGGAGTCGAAGGAAGCATAGCCTCCGGGATTGATGGCTCGGGTTTTGGACAACAGAATAGTTTCCTTGGCCGGATTACATTCTTTTTCGGCCTGCACGAGACTATGATGTTTTGGGGGGAGTCAGTGTTGAAGCCGGTGGTGGATGACACAATCTTTGGCTACTCGAGGTCGAGGAAAGAGGCTGGGATGGCAGGTAAGGTGGCTGTGGGGCTGAGCTACGGCGGGTTCTGGTGGCGGCGGCTGAGGGATGAGGTGGAGTCCCTGGTAATGGTGCCAGAGCTGAAGCGTGAGCTTGAGATGCCAATATGCGCGGCGGACTTTATGGGGTGGTGGTTGTATTATCTGACGGCCTCTATTGGAATGATTAGGCTAGTCAAAGGTTCGGCTCTAACGCTCCTGATTTTGGTACGAAGACGGAGGATCATCCGAGACTGTGACAGTCATCGGCCGGACGATGAGAAGGTTTGAGTTGGACGCTGCAATGAAATACAATTGCAAGTTGATTCTCTTTTGACAAACGACCGTATACTTAATTTTAGTTATGTTTTTGTGATTTGATTTCAGATTTTTTTTATTTTATTTTTTATAATACAACGCTTTTATATATATATACATTTTATTCTTTCCCAAAACAAGGGATGTGTTTAGTTTGGATTTCAAACACAAATTAATAGTATTAATATGTACGGTATCCGATAAAAATATATTATTCCGTTCCAATTCAATGTATCGGCAGTGACATGTATAACTCACGAAAATATGTTGTACTTCCACCAAAACAGGTATCTTTCAAGTACAACACTACAAAAAAAAATAGTATATTTGTAACGGAATTCCGTTACTAAAGTTCACGTAGTTAACGTAATTCCATCTCAAATTTCGTCTCTAATATCATTAGTAACGGAAAAAGTAGATTTAACAACGGAAAAATCTTATTACAAAATTGATATTTTTTTTGTAGTGCAAATACAATATTAGAAACAACCTAGTACAACTTAGATTCCTATATAGCTACAATTTTGCGTGTATGTAGGTAAAACCTTATGGATATCATTTTTCAAGGCATATTCGTTGTCTTATCGTGTTCGACTAATACTACATATTCAAAATAATTTTTCCTCATGTCCCACATAAACGGTGGCGATAGAAGTGAGTTTTGAGATTGTTAAGGCACACTTGACATAAAAAGGATGTTGTATTATCAATTTTCTTATAATTTCAAGAGTACATGTTCTTTATTGAAATATATTTACGGTTGCATCGAAATATAGTGATAAAATAAAAAAAAATATCTATTTTGATCTTGACACGTTTCTTCCGGTATAGACACATGATTAGCATGAGCCAAGTGCAACGTGATTTCTATATAGATACAACTTTGATCTTGTGTAAGTACAATTTTTTTATTATAGGTATAGCCTTCCACGTATTATTTCATCCAGATGGTTACACTGTCTTATTGCGCCTGACCAATAGTACATGTTGAATATAGTTTCTTCTTGCATCCCACATGAAAGATTATGATGAAAGTGAGTTTTTGGATTGTGAAGATCTATTTTTCATGAAAGAAAGGACGTATTGCCGGGGATTTTTTTCTGTAATTTATGAGATATATGCTCATTGTTAAAGTATACGTATGATTGCATCCAAATATGATGGAACAATCCAAATATATCGACTTTAATCTCGAAGTACAAGTTTCTCCTATTACAGGTACAGACTTAGTAAGGGCCAAGTGCAATATGATTCTTATGAAGTTACAATTTTGAGCTTGTGTAGATACAACTGTCTTATATTGTAGGTACAATTTTCAACGTATCATTTATTCGAAGTGGTTACAATATATATACATTTATGTATATATTAATATATAATTGTATATACAATACTTATAAATAACTTTTACGAATAGATATTTATTTACATTTACATTTACATTTATACTTGACTAATATAAATAAAAAACACTTCTATATACATCTATATATACAATTACAACTTTATAGTTACATATACATTTACATTTGGAATGAAAAAGTGACATTGTATTGTCAAGAATTATTCTCATAATTTGTAGGATAAAAGTGTTCATTGTTGAAGTAGATGTACGATTGCATTCAAATATGGTGGAAAAATTTAAAAATATCGACTTTGATATCGAAGTACAAGTTTCTTCTAGGTACAAACCTAACTAAGGTTAAGTGTAACCTGATACATATGTAGGTATAATTTTGAATTTTTGTAAGTACAACTTATTCTATTGTAGGCTCAATATTCCGTATACCATTTTTTTAAGGTGGTTACAACATGTATGTATATTTACGTATACATTAACATATATAATTGTATATACAATACTTATAAACAACTTTTACAATTACATATACATATATCTATAATTAACTAATATTTATAAACAATAATTATATATACACTTATATATTAAATTACAAATTTTATATTTACATATAGATTTACACGTTGCATGAAAAATGACGTTGTTATGTCGGGAATTTGTCTTATAATATATAGGATATGTGCTCCTTACTGAAATATATACGGTTTCATTTGAATACGGTGGAAAAACACAAAAATATAGATTTTGATTTCAAAGTACAAGTACAAGCTTAAGGAGGGTCAAGTACAATCTGATTCATACAAATTTATAACTTTGAGTTTGTGTAGGTATAAATACTTCAACGTACTATTTTTCGAGGCGGTTACAACATACATATACATTAATATATATAATAATATATACAACACTTATATAAAAATTATGAATAGATATATATCTAAATATATATTTATATCCACTCACAACAATCCAATTATTTCTCTGGGTGAAAAATATTAGACATTTCATTTTCTAATTTATATTTGACTAACATTTATAAACAACAATTACATGTACATTTATATATACAATTACAACATTTACATATATATTTACATTTGACATGAAAAATAACATTGTATTATTGAAAAGTTTTCTTGTAATTTATAGGATATATATTATTTCTTAAAGTATACGCACGGTTGCATTTGAATACAATAACAAAATTCGAAAACCTCAACTCTGATATCGACATATAAGTTCCTTCTAGTACAGATACAAGCCTGGCAAGGGCCAAGTGCAACCTGATTTTTATGTAAATACAATTTAAGCTTATATAGGTATAATTTTATTGTAGGTACAACTGTTTTCAAAATTAACTATTTCTAGCAGAAATAAAATGTATTTCAGCGACGTTTCCGCGAGAATAGTTCATCTCAAGTAAAAAAAAATACGTATTTTTTCAACGGAAATTAAGGATGTTTCTGCGTATTCGCGAAAATAACCTGATTTTCGGTGAGAAGAAGATTTTTTTGGCGTGGAAAATAATAGTTTTGAATTACACATTTTTTTCATTCTTTTATTGGAATTAAAATGGTTTTCTTATTATCATTCTTTGTATATTATTATATTATAGGAAAAAAATATCAACAATATATTAAAATACGCTAACTTTGAAAATGTTATAAACACAAATAGATAAAATAAAATTTACTAATAATTTACAATCTAAGTGTAAAGAGTATTCGCTTGATGAGAGGAAAATTGAACTACATATTTCTAGCAAAAATTTTATGCGAACCGGCGACCAAACGCGTGCAATTATTATTAGTGAGATTGGTGGAACAATTTGTTTTTTATGTTTGTTTTAATTTTAAATTCTAAGAACATATAAATAATTTAACATGATATGGATATTTAAGTGTTTTTCATAATTATAAAAGTTGAAAAAAATATTCCCTTGTATCATTTTTATAATTTTTGTCCGTTCAATTTCAAAGTCTCTATTTTATTTCAAGTAAAAATAATCATATACTAATACTAAAATACTTTTAATTTTTATTTAAATAACAAATATACAATTATACATACACTTACTTTTTACGTAAAATTAAACAGTAATAATATCAAAATCTTTTAGACCATAAGCATCTGCCGTTTCTCTTTTCTAGAGAAACCGTACACACGCCATGTCATTATTTTATTTAAAAACAAAATACAAAAAAGTTTTGTAGGTGCTTTTTACAACAACTACAATAATCCGGTGTTATATTTATTTTATATATTTTTATAATATAGTATATTATTTATTTATTATTATATTTTTATATTATATTAAATTTTATTTTTTACACAATAATATATATTAATATATATTTTTAATTTTGTTTTAAAAATAATAATTTTAATATAAATATAAATATATATGTATTTTTTATTGAAGCGGAAGAAAGAGATGATAATGTGGAGAAGTCAGAGAAACTTACATATTTCTTCCGCAATAGTCCAAATAAAAAGGGAGAAAGAGAGTAAAGGTGTGTTTGTTCAGGATTTTAGTTTTTGATTTCGAATTTTTGAATCGTTAAAAATTAAATTTGAATAGTTATTTGATGTGATATAAATAAAAATTGATGTGATGTTTTAAATGTAACATGCAGTATAACATAAAAAAAAAGTAATAATACTTTTTACCTAAAAAGCAACATAATTTACTATTATTAATTAATTAAATATTATCATTTTAAATACCAAGATTTAATTAAATATTCATTTATTATATAAAAGAAATTATTATTATTATATTATTATTTTGTATTTTAATTTTAATTTTTTCTACTTAAAATATAAAAATCTTGGTAAATAATAGTGTAAAAACAATAAATACATATAATATATTACTATTAATTTTTATTTTTATTTTTATTTTATTTTTATTTTTAGTTTTTATCGGATATACTATTTTTTTTTAAAGACACGACGAATTGTCCAACCACGTTTTTTTTCAAAACGTCGGATCCAACGCGACAAAACTCAAAAAAACAAAACCGGACCTAGTTTCTCCAGTTATTTCCGTCTTCTCCTTGCCCTCACCCCCCGACAGTCGCTTCGGCCGCAGTTGATGAGCTGGCTGTTACAGGGAAAATTCAAAATTCTCTTGATAGTTTCGTCGCCGCCGCGCTCTCTATTTGTGGTCCGACAAAACCATGGACTTGACACTCGAAGAATTGTACAACAGCCAGTATGATTCCGAAGACGATGACAGCGATTGGGAGCCTTCCGCTCTTTCCAACCATAATGTCGTCGAAATTTCCAAGTGGTTTTGTCTCAACTGTACCATGGTCAATACTGGGGGTGCTTTTCACTGTGATGTAGGGTTTAACTTTACTTCTAAATAGTTACTTCTTGTCTAAAAAACTTCACATTAAGTTTCCGCAACTATACCCTGAAATTTATCCGTCCCAGGTATGTGGCGAGCATAGAGAATCAGGAATCCTAAAGCGTGGGTTTTTGGCTTCTCCATTTTGTAAAGCAGAAAGTCTCGCTGACAATGATTCTGTTGCAGCTAACGAACTCCGAGGTTTGATTGTTGTGAAACTAACGTAATGAAGTTGCTATTGTCACAGTGTTATTTCACCCACTCAGGTTAGAGAATGAGTCCTTTGAAGGGGAAAGAGGGGCGGGTAGGAGGAGGATGAAAAAAGAGCACAAATAAGAACATAAATTTATGCTTGAACATTCTTTAATGGAATGAGAGTTTGAGATTTATGCTTGAGAATTTGATACTGCATGGAATTCAGGCAAAGGCATCTAGGGTTTGGTTTGTTTGTGTTTTGGACTTGAAATTTTTTTAATGGAAATATGTTTTGGATGTAATGTTTTAAATTGACAATAGTTGAGCATGTGATGTCTTGAACGGAAAATCGGTTTGGGATGTGATGTTTTGAACAAAAATAGGTGTTGGATGTATTGTTTCTTAGTAAGAAAAAAATATATTATAGTATAAAGAAGCAAGTTTGAAAACATAATCTAGCCTTATTTCACATTCGAAACTCCCAATATCTAGACCAATAATTTTCCTTATTTGCTACCAAATGTATATCATTCAAGTCATTTACCAAAGATATTCTGTTGTCGGAAGAAATGAAATTTAATGAATTACATACCTGATCAAAATGCTTCTAAATGCTCCCGAATTTTCCAGAATCCTTCTTCAATATTTATTAGAAACCTAAAGATACAAAAGTAAAACCCTATCTGATCCTAAATGACGTCATAAAAGAAACAAAAAAGCTCTTAAATGCTCATGAATTTGCCAGCATCCTTGTTAAAAAATCTAATTGAAACATAAAGCGACAAAAGTAAAGCCCTATCTGATCAAAATGCTCCTAAATCTTCAGTTTTTACACCTCTACCCAATCTCCTACACGCACTCCTGTGTTGTTGTTTAGTTAACATTAGTTTGTTATAATCTATCAGGATCACTTAGTTGAATTTCCATAAGTTTGTGCATTCCATTGTTTTGAGTAAAAGTTTTCCCAAATCCCAAATTAGACACCATGCCTTATTGTTTTAAATTATGATCTGAAGTGGCTGAGTAGTGTTTTTTCTGTCTTTGTTGACGTGTGTAGATCCCCATTTACAAAGTATTGCATCACATAACCCTACTGCCATAGGATTTGATGAAAGGATGCTGCTTCATGAAGAGGTATGGTTGGTTGACCAGCCTTCGCATTGTTTTATTTATTTTTTTTTTTTCCATATCATCCCAGTTTTCTGTACTGTTATTTCTTCATACTGATCAATCAGTGAAGTGAAGTTTTTCCAATTTTTTGTGTCTTTCAATTAAATGTGAGATCTAATCCCAAGGATAGAAGATGGTTTCATTTTATTTAGTATTCAGATGCCATGTGGCACAGTTAATCAGATAGTGTTGAAGTTCTTTGGCTACCTTTATCATTTGCTAATTTATTTTTATATATTTATTTTTTGCTGACCAAAAAAGGTTATAATGAAATCACATCCCCATCCAGAAAGACCCGATCGTCTTCGAGCCATTGCTGCCAGCTTTTCAGCTGCAGGTTTGGGTGACAGTTTCTCCTATTTATATATACACAATCACCTACTTTAACACAAGAAAGCATTACAGTTCCTGTAATGTCATGCATCTCTAGTAGTTTCTTTTGTCTAATATCAACGAACTGGCTCTTCTTCATAAAATCTGGTAGGTATATTTCCTGGAAGATGCGCTCCTATCCCTGCAAGAGAAATTACGCGAGAAGAACTCCTCATGGTAAGATAAAGTGCTGAAACCACATCAGCGAACTTGATATATTCTGCATTATTTTATTTTTCCAGATTATGGATACCATGCTTCTAAAAATCTTGATCCCAATTTTCTACAATTGTAGAATAAAATTCATCAAGCTATTTTGATATTGGAACTGCTCTAGGATTACTCTTTTCATGTTTATTTTGGAATTGAAATTAAAAGTGACCGTGTCTTTGTTTGTACATGGCCCTTCAAGTAATATAATTTTTCTAACAAGTTTAGGTCCACTCCCTTGAGAATATTGAAGCTGTTGAGCTGACAAGTCAAATGCTATCTAGGTATGTCAAACTATTCGTTGATTTTGATGTGTGAATTTGTAGAAGGGTTGATCTCGATTACCTGTTATAACAATTAGCTCTTAGCCCAATTTTGATAATATGTATATATGGTTTTGTTCATCTATCTCAAATTTAGAATGAAAATTATATCTTATCTCATCATGAGGTCATTTGACCTATAGATATACATGAGGCTGTCACATATGGACAGCTAATTCTAGGGATCCCTGTGATTATGGGATTTCTTCTAAACACATATTCTAGTATTAATATTATGATACAATTTGTGATAAGAAATACTATTTGCTAAGTTTACATGGAGCTCTTTGCTAAGCGTGGCACTGCTACAGACCTTGGTTTTGGCCGCCATTGGCTTGTTTCCAGCATTGCTCTTCTTGGCCCTACCATAAAAACTTCTCAAATTTCTACATTCTGCTTGTCCACTGACACTGCTCTCTTGTGTCACCTTCTGTCAACATAAGCAACTGCTCTGTAATGTGTCTTCTCTTACAATTTTGATTTATTTTTGAGCTCCCTTCACGCCAAATGTGCCAACCTTCTTGTTTACTTTGTCATTCCCTGACACTTGTTTTCACACTTTGACACTTTCCATATCAACTGTGGCTCAAATTATTCTTCTTGTGCAAAGGCAATCTAAATATGGTGTATAGACAATTTCTCTTGGACCACGTTTACCAACATGCAATTGACAGACTTCTAGAGAAGCTTGGTTGCAGATGGATGCTTTATTGAGTAATTTTCTTTATCATGCGGTCGATACATCTTTACGTCCTATTTTCACCATTCACAAACTGCCATTCATTATGAACACAAGCTTCTCTGCTATATGCAATGATAGTTGATGTCTCTACACCATGGCCTCTAATTTATTGCCTCCTTTTCAAGATGAGTGCTCTATGCCAAACCTTTTGTGGGTAAAATGTCATCTATGAAGGCTAAGAAATTTGTTTTATGATTTGTGTTAGTATTACTCTCAATTCTCAAATTACACATTTCTGATTAAATATTATCTAGTTCTGACTTTTTTCATTGTTCTATGATGTTTGTGCTCTTCTACTACATGTTTTGTCTTGGGTACCACTATGGATGGTGAACAGCCTACCTTGATATTTCCTTAATTTTCCATGCTGTTCTGAACACCTATCAGGCTACTCTGGGCGGTGGTAGTTATCCGAAGTGTAACTTTTGTTAACTTGTGCGTCAAACCAACAAAAAAATATCATGAACTGGATTCCCTCCCTGTGCAAGTGTAGCTCATATTAACCTTCATGGAAAAAAAAAATTTGCTGTTTTCAGTGACTATCAATGACATTGAATATACAGCTTCACTAATACCAGGCTCCCAAGTAGCTTGATCCACTCATACCCTTTTTCACTCTGGTAATTTTGTTTCTTGTCTACCAGACGACACCTGGTAGTTCTCGCTCCTCAAAACTCACACGAGTTTGATCATGTATTTGTGAGCCTTCTTATGTTTTTCCTCAGAAACCTGAATCTTTGTGTTCTATTACACTATCTAATGAATGCAGAGCATAGCTATTGGTACTACCTACGTTATTCCTCACGCTTTGCTTTATTTTGTACTTTATTCTTGAGTGCCTATGTACTAGTGTTTCTATTAGTAAGTTGATTTAAGTCTTTGAATTTGCTCTATCATATATATATTGCGGATTCCTTCTTTTTTCAGGATGCAGTATGAAACAGATGATTGGCATAGGACGTGAGTCTCATTTGCTTTACTATATTACTCCTACCACTTTTACTATTTGTGTTTCCACTGCCTCCAGATCTACTTCACCAACATTTTAGTCAGTCAGTCTGTCAAAAATTAGATGTGCGGATTGAAGTTTGTCTTGTTTTTTGTTCTGTGATTGCGAGTCCTGTCAGCTTAGCAACCAATCTCTTACGTCATCTTCTAAGCAGGTCAATAATCCGGTTTGTGTGCACTTTGCATGGGTCAATTATGATATTTGAGATTCTAGTTCTGCATATTATTGGCATAAGTATTTTGGCACTCTTGTAGACAGTTTCTCAATAATATGGCAGTACTTGACTTTATTTAACACATGAAACCCTTGTGATGTGATTGAACAAATCAAGCCCTTTCATCCAAATTCGTATGTATGGGATTGCTGTAATCTGAAGTTTGGATTCATCACTTGATACCTCATAAAATGGGACAAGAAATAGCTAGTGTGCATAGACTTCCATCTTTTCATGAAAAGATGTTTTATGAGTAGCATACGTTACTCTTGTTGACTAGCTGATGCTGTCTCCCCAATGGCAGTGGAAATGCTATAGAGATAGTGGTTGTCTGACAAGAAACACAAGATCTTGCCTCGGACAAATCACATATTGGGCATTTACCATAGACTCGCGGATTTATCGATATTAGGATCGTAAAAAGAACAAAATTCTGATGAAAGACCTCATGGAGGACTTCCAAGTCTGGTTTTGTGAAGCTTGTTGTGATCCAGCGGTCTGTTTTTGGCCTATTCAAGAAGTGGGGCGGGGGATTACTTAGGCTTAATGATGTCTATGCCTATAAGTTATTTTACTTAATTTACTAGAGTTCTTCGTTTGTAGTCCTTCTGGCCATTTCTATTCCCAATTAGTCTTCTAAGTATTTTTCTTTCCATTTATGGGCGAGAATAAGTAAACAAGTACTCCCTCCGTCTCAAACATCCTGCAACATTTTCTTTTTGGTATGTCCCAAACACCCTACAACATTTCCAAAATATAAAATAATTAATTATATTTAATCTCTACCCCACACCACACTTTATCCCCTCACATCATCCAAATAAAAAAAAAATATATATATATTTCTCTCTTCATCACATCACATAATTTCTAAATTATCGTACTTAATACTATCCACCTAAAAACCTGTGCCAAAAGCAAATGTTGCACCTTGTTTGCGACGGAGGGAGTACAATTTTGAAAACCTATTTGGTGGTGGACCGGCAACGGCTTGGGATAGAGGATTAAAATTGCTTTATCAGCATGATGCCACTTAAGATCTCCATCTTCATAAACCAAATCTCTAGAATCATCACCCCGTTCATTGTCCCATTGAAATTCTTCAAGAATTAAAGGATTAAAATTGCTTCCTTCTTCTGCCGCTTTTGAAAGCGTTGTGCAATCCTCCGATTATATTGAACATACACCAAATTATTTAGCTTTTGGTGCTCTAGTCTATTTCTTTTCTTGGTATGAATTTAGAAATAAAACTTTATATAAAAATTTGAAAATTATTATTAAAATATTAATATAAATAAATTTCGAATAAATTTACTTACAAATTCAAATATGCTCCAATTGCGCTCACAACCGGCAGAAGAACAACATAGACTAATAGTCTGTACAGCAAGTGAATGAAGTTCTTCGTTGTCACCACTGTATGCATTTCACCAATCAACTAAAAAAGATATATATAAAAAAGAATATATTCAATATTTGAAATTAAGTTTCATAGAAAATAAAATATATATATATATATTAAAAAAAATTACGAGGACTCTTTTGCATTTGATGCTTGATTGACAATTGACGGCCAAAGCTTTATCGCATTTTATCGTAATCATCGGCTTGACCATTAATTTTATCCATCAACTTTTCATCTTTAACCATCTTTTCTAAAACATCATTAAACAGCTGACGTTGCTTACGAGCAAATACGAGATCGCTCATCTTCAATTCAAAATATTTTGAAGGATTTAGGAATAGTGCAGCCCCATATAACATCACCTCCATTTGATCGCTCCATCGATCCTCAATTATTTCCATCAACTTGGCCAAAAACTTTGCTTTGCTATTGCTCATAAAAGATTAAGTTATTTTCTTCTTTGCATGATTCATAGCCGAAGAAAGCACAGGCATGGCTGGCTTTTCATCACCATCAACTATCCTCAAAACTTAGTTTACACTTTGCTAAACTTATTTCAATATCCAATTATGTTCTAGAGTCTCAATTAATGTATACCAAGTAGCACCGAAAACTTAATTTACACTTTGCTAAAATTATCTCTTATTAGCTGGAACATTAAACTTTTTGAGTCCCATCGGGTGAATTTGATTTTGCTAATATAAATAACAAAAATCAGCAGCACTATTTCTAAGTTTGTTGATTGACAATGAAATTTATTTTGTTTAGTTCTCTTGTCCCTTTTCTTATGCAGCTATTTCACCCCTGATACCTACGCAAACCAGTATTCAGCACACTCTGCGAGGCTTGCCGCTGGTTTATGTTTTGATCTTGCTGCGGCTATATATTCTGGAAGTGCCAAAAATGGTTTTGCTTTGGTAAGGAAATCCTGAAACTGTGAAGGATCCCCTTCTGTGGATTGTTGAGAAGACAAACTTATGATAATTGGATGAGTAATATTTTTGAACTTATAATTGTCTTCATTTCCATTGAATCAGGTTCGTCCTCCTGGTCACCATGCTGGTGTAAAACATGCCATGGGTTTTTGCCTTCATAACAATGCAGCCCTTGCTGCATCTGCAGCGCAGATTGCTGGTGCTAAGAAGGTTCTAATCATTGACTGGGTAATTATGTTAACTCTGCCTTCGCAATATTTCCTCGCAATTGAGCTTTCCTCAAGTTTCCATTTTACTACAGGATGTACATCACGGAAATGGCACGCAGGAGATATTCGAGAAAAATAAATCAGTGAGCAATATGTCATAACTGACTATGGATTTTCAAGATTTCTTATTGAAATTCTAAATTTATTGATTATATCAGTATCTGAAGCCTTGAGGCATTGAACTCAAAATCTCATATGTTGATGCTTGACAAACATCTGACTCTAGGACATTGACAAGAATCATATCGCCAACAATGTCATTTCAAATGTTTTTACCTGCTTTCTTTTTGTTGCTTTTTCAGTTGATATCTTGTACTAAATGTTAAGTTTGATTTTCAACACATTTTTAGGTTTTGTATATATCTTTGCACAGACATGAGGGTGGAAAGTTTTATCCAGGCACTGGATCTGCTTATGAGGTAATTCAATTTATCTTTGACCTTTGACTGTTGTTGTACTCTATTCTCTAACAAATATGAATAGCTTTTCTGCACAGTGATAAGTAACCCCAATATTACAGTAACTGCTTGAAATATTGTCTTCAATTTTTCTGACATACTTCATGAGTGTGGATTAGCGGACTGAGAATCCTCTAACTAATCTGTAGATTAATTTTTAAGGCATTTTGTGTTCAAACATTTATTTTTTATTTTTTTTATTATACTAAAAACAATTTAATATTCAAAACATCACACCATATACCTATTCTAATTCAAAATTTGTATTATTCAAATTCCAACCAAAAATATAAACCCCCAAACAAACACACTATCTTCATGGAAGGTGAAGGACATGAGTTCATCCGTGATGTAAATTTTGACTATTGTCTTTAAGCTTTTATCTGCATGTTGAGGAAATTTTTCTGCTTAAGCTTATTTCTGCTACTGTCTCTTCGGTGAGGGTGAAAAGGAAAAGTATTACAGCTGAAAATTTGAATTTGTAATGATTGCATAAAATATGAATTTATGATTGCATAAGTATGTTAAATTGAAGTTGGCTAACTTGAAATTCAAATCTTAACACCTTGCCTAGGAGATGGCAACTCTTGTACTAGTAGTTGAGTACTAAAATAAAATATGAATTTATGATTGCATAAGTATGTTAAATTGAAGTTGGCTAACAGGATATTATGGTCTATAAAAAAAAATGCATGGTTTTATGGAGCTTTGTACCTTATGTATGGATCTTGTTTCAACCTTTCAGCACTACATTATTCTCAATCATGAGTATCCTGTACATTTACTGCACTGTTTTTGCAGATTGGTTCAATGGGTGCAGAAGGATATTGTGTAAATATTCCATGGAGTCGTGGAGGAGTTGGCGACAATGACTATGTTTTTGCATTTCAGCAAGTCGTGCTTCCAATAGGTCATTACAAATCGTTTTGCATTCTCAAGTGCTTTACTCCAATAATAAATCCGTCCATGGAATGGTTTCCGTTTGGTTTTCTTTGGGATGATTAATTACCAACTTATCTTGTTTAGTTGCTTTCTAATCACATGCTAATTTTTGCCTGCCATGATGCATGTAATTTGTATGATTTTTGCTGAATGTTGTCCCATATTAGAAAATTATAGGAACTCTCCCTTGGATATAAGGGTGAAGGTTTTACTTAATACCAATTGGTTTTAAGTTGGAACTTTGGATCTGTTCTTAACATGATATCAGAGTTATAGTGCCCGTATTGAGTATTGAGAAGTGTTGAATATTGTCCTATAGTGGAAAATTGTTTGAACTCCTCTTGGATATAAGGGCGAAGGACTACTCCCTTAATACCAATTAGTTTAAAGTTGGAACCCTGGATTCTTTCTTAAGAATTTCAATGCTCCGGGCGGAGTGTCATGGTCTTAACACAATGGAATCAAATTCTCTATTTAATTTACAATATAGTTTGTAGCAATTGTCAGAAATACCTCTTTCAAAAAAACTCACTGTATATATTGGTTTCCTCATTCCATCGGTCATCTTTGAAGCAATAGACTCACATGTAATTGAGTGCTCTTTTTGATGAACTTATATCTTTTTCTGATCTATTAAAATTCTTCTTGCACAGCTTCGGAGTTTGACCCGGATTTTACAATAATATCTGCTGGATTTGATGCTGCACGCGGTGACCCTCTTGGCTGCTGTGATGTATATAGTTGATTTTTGCATTGAAATTCATATTTTGTTATCATTTTCTGTGTTATCATATCTATTGACATGTGTAGGAGCTATTTGTTTATTGTTGGATTTAGAAGCTGCCACATTAAGTATGTGTGTGCGCTTAATTTTGGAATGGTGCATAGCATGCATGAATTTTTTTTATAAGTTCCCCAAATTAAGTTATATCAATTTATATGAGATTTTACTGTCACATGTTTTCTTTTTCCTCTTTTAGGTCACTCCTAATGGATATGCACAGATGGCCTACATGTGCAGCGCTCTATCTGGTGGAAAGTTACTTGTTATCCTTGAGGGGGGGTTAGTTGCTTCCCTGATATTCTTCTCAATCTTATATTTGTGTGTATTTTAATTTTCTTTCCCTCCTGAAATTATTCTTTCTGTTTTGTTTCTTTCCTCTCCATGTTCTACTTCTTTTTTGTTATATTTTATTTTATTTCGCCATTTAGTTTGGATATCATTGTTCTATTGCTTGCTTGATATAAACTTTCTTTTTCAGGTATAATCTTCGATCAATATCATCCTCTGCTACCGCAGTAATCAAGGTCACATCTCTTTTACAATATTCTCTAGCTATTGCATTACGATTACCTTAAATTTTATTCCTAATACTTTTGCTTCCGTACAGTGTATTAGTCTACTGTTTTTGCATACTTGTTCTCTTGCTTATTTTTACATGACAATTGCATGCTGCCATACTGTTCTTTCTTTTTTTTTTTTTAACTTTTTATTGTTGGAATCCTTTTCCTTTCCTCTTTGTGGTTGGCCCTTTTTATAGATTCTCAATAGCCTATGAGGTGTTCAGATCTGCCAATGCTTTCTGCAAGTTTGGAAAGAATGAACCTTCATTTAATATCATTTCAATCATGGGTTGACTTTTGAGGTTGGTCCTTAAACATGTGTGATGGATATGCCATTTTGGAATTTTGGAAATTCTTGCTAGAGTCGTTGTTTTTGCTGCTGTCCTCATGCAAAACTGTGCAACCAATTGATCTGATGGGCTTTGATAAGGTTATTTGAGAATTAATCAGTCTTTTGTAAGTGTAAGGGTTCATACATCCTCTAGGTTTATAGCCTTCTATTTCACGTGAAAGAGGTCTCCATATCATCATGCACTAGGGTAAATGATTTCCGCACTAAAAATATCTTACTGTTGAAGTGATTGAATCTTGTTTGAGATTCTTAACTGATGCTGTATTGCATCTACTTGTCACTGATGTAATCCACTTTGGGAGTTGCTTTGGTTGCTTGACTTGTTCCCAATTTGGGCAAGTTGGAATTTCTATATTACGAGTCTTTTCTTGATTTTTTACCTTTTAGTATTTTTAATACTACTGCGTTGTTTATCTCTTCATTCAGGTCTTACTTGGTGAAATTGCAAAATATGATATGGAGCAAATAAATCCCACCAAGGCTGGACTGCGAACTGTCCTAGAAGTACTGAAAGTTCAGTCAAACTATTGGCCTTCAGTGAAATCCAGATTTTTAAAACTACAATCGGAATGGGGGCAGCATGCACTGCTGAAGAAAAGTTAGTATATACCATAACTGTGTCATTTACAGCTAAAATACAAAGCCTTTTTTTTTTTTTCCCTAGTAATTGGCCAGTTGTGTGTCCTTTGCTAAACAATTATGATATATGTTTTCATATAATGAGTGTACCACATAAAGGACTTACCTTAAATCAGGTGTAGTATATTTTCAAATTTGTGTTTCAAAGGTGGTCAATATAGTGGTGTTGTGGCTTCCATATTAGGAATTATGGGGTGGGGATCTCTTCCGGATATAACCGCAGTTTCTCGAGTCTCCTGTTTTATTCCTTTTCTTGTTCCATCTTATATTTCCTGATAGATCATAAGGACATCATGCTTCTAAGAATACAGACTAATCAAACATATATAATCATTTTATATGCATGACTCACTGTTGATATTGTTTGCAATATGATGGAGAAGAAAAAAATGTTTGAGATAGGAGATCCATGCTTGTTCAAGATGTTTGTTTGATAATAATTCTGGTTAAAACCCTAAAGATCTTACTTTTAAGTATCTGAATTGCATGAGATTTGTAATGCGGATTATGTTTGGTGTGTAGAAAGGAAGAGAAAGAGAAGGGTGAAGGTGCCTGCATGGTGGAAGTGGGGACGCAGAACCTTGTTATATAGGCTGTGGTGCAGGAAGCACTTGTGAGTAGACAGCTGCTGCTGCTGCTAACCATTTGAGGCTGTACTTTCTGATCCTTCTTTTTGAAAAATTAGTTTATGCATCATAAGATTCAAAACTTATATTGATGTGATGTATGATGTATCTAATTTAGTAGTCATTTTTATGCAATGAGTAGTGCACATTGGTGCCAGTTGCTTAATGTGTTATGGTATGTTGTCCTTTTGGCTTATTTTCTTCAGCGTAGAGCCATGGTGCCAGAAAATTGGTTGCTATTTTATGGTTTATAAATAATTTGGAATAGTTGCAGCAGTTAGACATGAATTCCACCTGGGTCTGGGGGTGTGGGGGGATGCTGCAGGGTCCAATGTCCCATCGAGGAGGAGATTAGGGAAATGCTGCTGAGTCTGTCTCGATCTGATAGAGTCTATCTCGATCCACAATGGGAGGTAGCCGCATGCACTGGGCGGTTACAGAGGAGAGGAATAGGTGCTTAATCGTCTCCGATGCCTGACAGCACTGGCAACAAGAGGCTAGAGGAATACCGAATCGTCGAAGGGCCTCATCGATTGGGATCCGACAGCGAAATAACTGCCATAGGAACACTGACATCGTAGGCGTAAGTAGTCGGGACCACAAGCTGCAAGAGAGCCAACTCCGCACACCGGCAGTCCGAGTAAGCTTCCATGCCGAGGTAGTATGAAAAGTACTTCCGCATCCCAAATTCCAGGTGATCTAGCGCCTCATCGCGAACCTGGCATAGACGCTTCCAAACCGGGCAATCATAGCTCCGGTAGGGAGCAAGGCCCGGGAAGGATTTCCGGGAGTACTTATGTCGCATTGCACGCGCCCAGAGAGAGGTGCCATCACGCAATCGCCACCATAACTAGGCACGAACCATGTCTGATAGTCGACCAACTCCAATGCTGCCCTTCCCCTGCGGCCGCGTAGCATCATCCCAGGAGATCTAGTGCTGGCGGCGATGTCCATGGTAGGAACCCCAAAAAACGGTGCAAAGAGCTATTCCACTATGTGTAGCACTGTCGGGGGGTTAAGGACCTGTAACAAATATAGAGGGAGCGAGAAGAGCATGCTCCGAATCAGCTACAGACGGCCAGCATGAGAAAGGACTGAGCGATCCCATTACTGCAAGTATTGATGGAGCTTCCCGAGAAGGCAATCGTAAAGGATTTTGAGCCGATTACCCACGTAAAGAAGCACACCCAAGTACGTGAAGGGGAGACTTGCTGTGTCGAATCCCGTCACCGATCGGAGTTGTCGTTGAACGTTTTCCGGGCACTGGCGGCTGAAAACTAGTTGGCTCTTCTGACAGTTCACCAGCTGGCCAGTGATCCGCGCGTAAGAGGATAAAAAGTTCGTCAGGAGACTAATACGGTCACCAGGGGTGTTAGCAAAGATCAACATATCATCGGCATAGGCAAGATGTGTTAATCAGAACTGCCCGCACAACAATAGTAGAGATCCGGACAACGACTGTAAAGACGCTCTAATCCACGAGTAAGGAAGTCTGCAACTAAGACAAAGAGAGTCGGGGACAATTGATCCCCCTTCCGGAAGCCGCCCAAGTCCCTATTAACGAGGATCGAGTACCAAGCATGCTCAACACAGTTCATAATCAAAGTAATGAAATGAGCCGGGAAGCCGAACATGGTGAGAGCATGCCGCATAAATCTCCACGACACCCGATCATAAGCTTTGCTGAGGTCTAGTTTCATCATCAAATTATGGGACTCCCTGCACAGGTTCAAGTCGTGGACCATCTCCGACGCTATCAGGATGTTGCCAGCAATTGCGCGACCTTTCACGAAGCCACTCTGGTGTGGGGACAGCAGCTGCGGCAACAGCGGCCCAAGACGGACGGTGAGTAGCTTCGTGAAGATCTTACTGCTCACATTGCAGAGGCTGATCAGGCAATAATTAGCCCACGCAATCGGCCCGTCCTTCTTAGGAATCAACACAATAGTCGTCGCTGTATAAAATTTTGGGAGAGGGGTGCCCGAGAAGAAATCCAGCACCGCGGCGAGCAAATCCACGTGAATGATATCCCAACACTGCTGGTAGAAGGCTGCAGAGAACCCATCGGGGCTAGCAACACTATCCTGAGCAGTCGAGTATACAACCGCATGTACCGCTGCAATCGTTGGCAGCTTCAGGAGCCGAGCACACTTGGCCGGCCGAACCTTCAGCGATGGGTCAGCCAACTCATCCATACCGGAGGTGTGTGCATCATCATATTGCCCAAACATTGTCGAAAAGTACGAAACAACTGACTGTTTGATGTCCGAGTGCTCCGTAAGAGTGCGATCGCCATCCCGCATTGAGAAGATCGTCGCTCATCGGCGTCGTTCTTTCACCATGGAGTGGAACATCTTGGAGTTCCGCTTTCCATCAACCGCCCATCCACAAGCAGCCTTTTGCTTCCAGAACACCTCTTCCAGGGCGATTGCGCTGCACTACGTTGCCGACGAAGAATATTAGCCTCTGACGGGTCCCAATCAAAGTCCGCCTCACATTTAGCTGCCTCATTCTCAACAGTTGCTAAGAGTTGGAAAACATTACCAACGACATGCTTATTCCACCACTTTAGAGCCTGTTTAAGGCACCTCAGCTTCAGCCGCGGGTTAAGGAGGCCAGTGGTGCTGGTCGGGATCTCCCAGCTCGGACGAACGTGTTCCTGGAAAGTATGGTGGCATCTCCACATGTTCTGAAACCTGAAAGCGGAGGTAAATCGATGTTGCTCATGCGAAATACGAACCACCAATGGAGCATGATCAGAGTGCTTGCGCAACAGATGCCGGACACGGGTCAACTCGGTGAAATCCTCCTAGGCGACATATATAGCATCCGATCGAGGCGCTCCCAAACCCGCCGATTTGTCCATGTGTGTGGTGGGCCTTCAAAATCAGCATCCATGAGATTTGCATCGAGGATTGTAGTAGAGAAATCCTGGATTGGACGTAGCTTAGGCCGGCCAGGGCCCTGACGCTCTGAGATGTCTGCGATGACGTTAAATTTGCCACCTATCAGCGAACGGAAGCTCACCGCAGAGGCTGCTACATCCTGCACAAAGGACCAGAGATCCTGACGCTGTACAATAGAGCATCGAGCATAGATACCTGAGAATATGAAAGGGCGGCGGAGCTGCGGAGATGATATCTGCACATGATGACACTGATGTATCTCCGAAATAAGCTCCAAGAGAAAGGAGGTGTCGGCAAGGATCCAGATTTAGTTTGTTGTGTTGGTTAGCATTTGAGAGAAGCCCAGTCGGTGGCAAAAATAGTCAGGATCCGCCGCAACCGCTACAACCATAGGTTCCAAGAGGACAAAGAGGCGACTATGGTGTTGTTTGCAGAGCCAATGCACCTCGCGCTGAGCGCGGGGGTTGCCAATGCCCCTGACGTTCCAGACTAACATAGAAATGTTCGTCATTGAGAAATTGTGGAGGGGCGATTGTAGGAGTTGTCACACTAACGAGAGATACTGCAGGTAACCGGTCGAGAGAAGGCCGGAGCAGTGGCTGCTGCTGGGCGCCCGTCGAAACTGTATTACACGAGCCATTGAGAGACAAAGGATCTGCGATTGTGTTCAAAATGCACTCCTCCCTGCTCGGAGCTGCCATCATTGATAGAGTGACAAAAGAGGGGAACGACTCCGATGAAGTTCGCAGGAGGGGCTACTTAGCAACGCGGCCGTCCCCAACATCTACTATATCAGGAGGTTCTGCAGTAGGGGTCCCAGTGCGAATGCCCTCATAGGGACCGTCTGTGCCACGAGGGGAGAGCGCTAGGGAGTCAATGAGAGGAGGGGCGCCATCCTTGATGAGGGGCAAATCCCCATCTGAGTCATCCGCAAAGTCTGTATGATGGGCAGAGTTATCGTCATGCAGGGGTTTCGGAGAAGAAGAATGAGTAGCGGAGGCAAGTGTCTGCTGAGAGGCCACATCGATGGCAATTAGAATTCTCCGGGGAATCACAGACTAGCACCTCTTTCCCTTTATCAAGGCCATGTCCAGGGGGAAGCCCCCATAAGGTCGGCCATGTCAGTGGGAGCCTGCATGTGGTCCGTAGCCGCCTCAAGGGGGGGCGAGGGCACCAGGCTGCCCCTCAGAGGTACCAAAGAACCAGGGGAGGTGCTTGGCTGTCTATCCTGCATGGGTAAGGTGTTAGCGAGCACCTGCGTATCCTTCAACGAGCCCCTGGCAGAGGTGTGGTCGGAAGGGTCCTCAGGTCCTGCGGAGGGCTTCTACATAGCTTCTGAGGGTCCCTTGCGGTATCAGGAGGCACACGCGGTGCCCTAAGGGACTCCTGCTCGTTCGAGGAGGGCCATTTGGGCATAGCAAGGACAGAGGCGATAGTGAAATCCGCCCGAGTGGAGGGTGGACACCGCCCTTGCAAGGGGGCATCTTCGGCGGGTTCAACGGGGGGCTACATAGTCGTAGGACATTCTCTCGACTCCATAAGCGAGTCTTAACACACCAGAATAGAAGCGTAGCGAGGTTTCATTTTCTATGGGGCGTGCAAGAGTTGCCGTATTATGAGCTGGTAACACAAAGGCCACTAGGAGGACATGGGTGGTGCCGTGTTGTTTTGGGAGAAACTACAATGGCTGGTTGTCATGCGGTGAGGGATCCGTGACAATCACTACATCCCCAAAGGTGACATGCACCCCAGAGCAAAGTTGTTTTGGGGTTTGCGGTCCCGGGTTGGTGGAGGCGCCCGAATGGTGTCTTGGGACGGCCCCGGGTGCTCACGGCGAAGGATTTGAATAGGTCCCTGTGCAGTGTCAAGAATAGCAGTAGGGCCATTAGTAAGCTTACCCCGGGTGCGATTGCGGCAACCACGACGGGGGTGCCGGGGGGTGGCCGGGACTCAACGGTGGCAGTAGGTTTCGGGGCCCCAAGGGTGCGGGAGGGGGCTTGCAACACAATATCGGGGAGGAGCTACGGCGAGAGAGGGGCGGGCCGGCTGTAACCTTGTCCTGCGGTGGTTGGGATGCAACTCGGCGTAGGCAGACAGGAGCTGCGTGCCCGAGGTGACAACAAAAGGAATAGAAGATAGGAAGACGTTCATAGAAGACCTTTTATTCGATCACGCCAGTGCCCACATCAATCTTAAAAAAAAGTATCCAGGAGGGGCTTTGAGAGATCAACCTCCACACAAACGCGTGCATGAGAGCATCGGGTTTG